GCTCTGTGACCCCAGATGGTGTGACATAAAAGGTGTGGCTCAAGCAAGGGTGTGACTTGAGTCACACCTCTTAAAAGACACAACCTACACTGACTCTGCCTCATTAACACATGTTGTTGTTAAGTATCATATACTCAGTTCTGACTTATAGTGATCCCATACAGTATAGTTTCCAAGGAATGGCCAATGGGTTTAAATTGCCAGTCATGCTGTTTTAAGTCCAGTGCTTATCCTACAGAGCAAGGACTCCACATTAACAGATCACAAAATGGTAATACACAAATATATAGGTGACGGTGGTGGTTATGTGCTGTGGAGTCAGTTCCGACTCATAGCGACCCTGTAGAGGGTTTCCAATGCTGTAAATACTATTGGGAGCAGAAGCCTCATCTTTCTCTTGCAGAACCACTGGTAATTTTGAACTAGCAGATCTTGAGGTTAGCAGCCTGACTCTTAACCACTATGCTACCAGAGCTCCACTCAACACTGGAAATCATGACTTAGTCAAGTTGATACATATTTTTGAGACACAATTCAATCCGTGATGCTGTCCTTAGGGAAATTACAAAAAACAAATATATAAAGATGTTTTCTGACCCACCCTTTGTTGTATTTTCAGTCAGAACATTTTTACAGCTTACTATGGCTGAGTTTTAGGACACTTTGTGGGGTATAGTTCCTCATTTAGAAATCCTCATAGTTCCGTCTGTCATTCTGTAATTTTTATTACATAAATATAAGTGTATTTGTTCTTCCTCACACAAGGGTCACACAAAGCATTTAAAATACAGTCTCTCTCATACTGAAGATAAATATGGGTAAAAAGTCATTTGCCTTGTAAATGACCCAAGAAATCATGCAAGATGTGAAGTGCACTGTATTTCCAAGGGGCCCAGGGGGAGACTTTCCTTTTTTTTCCCTTGGCCCATTTGTTGAAAACTACCTCCAGTCCAGTTTCTGCTCATATTTGTAGCAGATCGCATTATTGCAATAATATCAGCAGCAATTACACCCATTAAAGGGCCTCACCACTCAGATATGTCACCTTGTTAAGCCTGGTTTAATCAGTTCCTGACAGCCAAATACGAATTCTGGAAGATAATCTCCAACTCTGTATCACAGAGCCAACAATCATTGTCATTAAGGAATGTAAGTACTTACCTACCAGAAACCACCAAACAGCAAAACAAAACCACACTTGAAATAACTGTAAGTGCCTTCCCTCTTAGTGAAATGCCTTTCAGCTGGACTCATCCAAACATTACCTCACCTCATCTCTTAATGAAAAATGAGCTGTCTGAGGCACTCAAATCTCTTATCTCCCCATCCCCTTATTTGTCCATCCCTCCTCAAAATAAAGTAGTCCACCCAATGGCAGGAGGATGTGTTCTCATCTGATGAAGTTAAACAAAAGAGAACTCATAAATGTCCCTGCATCTGAACATGAGTTTAGCAGCTGCTTTGGAGTCATATTCCATGAGACTTTGTGTGCCTGTCTTTCATCTGCTTGCAGGCACTCTAACCATAATATATGGTAGGTTGGTTCAGGTGGAGAGGCAGGAATCTTGTAGCAAAGATTGAAACCCGAAGTCTGCTGAACATATGAAAGCCTCTGTGTTTCTCATCAGCAGGCTGAGTTGTAGATGACCACATTGCTGAAGCTCAACCAACGGCTCCGCCTGATGGAAAATGCTTATAAACATATAAATCCCCTTTGAGTAGATTTTGGGGGTAGAAATAGAGCAATTTGCCTGAAATGTGTATACTTGGTTATATGATCACTCTAACTTTGAAGAGTAATAAGAACTAAAAAATGTACTAAAATGCTCTATTAAAAGGAGTCTATCAGCCATAAAGAGAAACGAAATAGGCTGACATGAATGAACCTTGAAATTATTATGTTGAGTGAAATAAATCAGACACACAAGAACAATTATAGAATTCTTGTATGAAATATAAAGAACAAACAAATGCATGAAGACCAGTTTGTCATCACCAGGACCAAAGAAGGGAATAGAGAGTTACTACTGAAGGGGTACAACATTTCTCTTTAGGGTGATAAAGTTTTAGAAATAAATGTGAAACAAAAACTACTGCCAGCAAGTCGATTCCGATTCAAGTGATCCTTTAGAACACAGATGTGCCCCACAGGTTTTCTGAGAATGTAAATCTTCATGGGAGTCAGCAACCTTATCTTTTTCCCTCGGAGGCTGGTGGTTTAGAATCACCGACCTTGTGGCTAACAATCCATTGTCTAAACCACCAGGCCACCAGGATTCCTTTAAAAATAGTGGTGCTAGCTGCACAAGATAGTGGCTGTAACTTATATTATCAAATTGTGCATTTAAAAACTGGTTTAAAATGGCAAATTTTTTAATGTATTTTACTTTTGTTTTTAGGTGCCATTAGTGCAGTGTTTGTTTAGGGCTGGGAGTTCCAGAATTAATGTTGGTATCTTAAACAGATATAATATAAATATAATTTTAAAAAACATATAGACATAAGTTAAGCACTGGCTTATTAGTTCAGTGATTTTCAACTCTGGCTGCGCATTAAGACTCCCTGTTTTTAAGCTTTAAAAAGGAAAAGAATCTAGTGCCCAAGTCCTACCTTAAACCAATTAAGTAAGAATAGCCAGGTTGGGGGAGAGGGGGAAGGTTTAGAACTCCGCAGGTGATTTGTATTTGCAAAGTTGAGCACCACTGAATTGGAGAACACAGCCCTTTTTTTTGAGAGAAAAAAGCTGGTTGTTTAGTGCCATTGAGTAGATTGGACTCATAGGGGACCCTGTAATGGATTTCTGAGGAGTAGTAGCTGGTAGATTTGAACCACCAACCTGTTTACAGTTCAAACTGACCTTACGGTCCAGTGTCTATCCTACAACGTTGATGTTAAGTCCCATTGAGTCAGTTCCGACTCATAGTGACCTTGTATCTATAGGGCTTAAAAGGAGCAGCAGGTGGATTTGAACCACAGACCTTATGGTTCTAACTGGCCTTGGTTCCAGTGCTTTATCCCACAGCGCCATGCCTGGACTCCTACAGTGCTACAGCCTAATTTTACAAAATCTACTTGGTGGGGAGTTTCCCTTCTTCATTTCTACCAATAATTTTATTACAGCTGGAATCTGGAATTAAAAACAGAGAAGTAGATATACAGATCGGGTGATTGAGTCACACGTATGTATAAAATACATGCACACATATTTTTATTTTTTAACTTAGGCCCTGATGATTAGTAAAGGAATCACAAAAGACTGAGTGTCTTGGAATTTACATATCCTGAATCAAACTCTTAAAAAACACACATGTAAGTTATTGAAGTCATAAAACACACACACACACACACACAAACTTTAATCACCCTCAGGAACCATAATCCAATAACATGTCAAATAAGTGAGATCTCATTCATCAATATATATAAAAAAAAACCCAAAACCCAACAATTAAACTTTGATGAAGACCTGTGCCCTTAGCAAGAGCACCTAACAGTCAGAAAGGTCTATGGGTAGCACTTTGAGGTAGAATATTTTGTAGAAGGAACAGAAGTAACAGAGCTGCTCTAAAGTTTCTCCTGGACTCAAAAGGTGCAGGTCAGCAAACTTTACCGTTGGCAGAGGAAAGGGAACTTGCCCTGTACTCATTGCCAAAGTCAGCCTGAAATACTTCCTACCACCTCCCCTGGGCCATGCTTTCACTACACTGCATGCATTGAAACTGTGGTGGCATTCTGATGTCTCTTTCTCCTCTTGGTTGTGGCATCATTTCCTTATGCCATGTACCATCCTCATGGGCAGGAGAAGCTAGGATCCAGTAAGAGAGAGAAGCAGGAGACAATGGGGTCCTTTATTTACCAGCTCTGCAAATTTAATTAATTCCAAGTGAACCAGTTCGAAAGAGGTTCATTTCTGGGCTTTCCCATATGATACTGGCCCTTTAAGAAGACTCTCTCACCACCACCCCTCACCCCAGCTTAAGTACAATAATTTTGGGGTATCACTGAGCTTTTTGCAATTTCCTGGCAGGATTGTGAACAGAAAAGCTTAAAAAAAAAAAAAAAAAAAAATTCCACATTAAAAGAGCCACAATAAACCCAAGTTCAGGAGAAACCAAGAACAGACTTCCTCTGTGTAAGTTAGGAATGACACAAGGTTACAGTTCAGGAGAATAACCTGCTTCTTAAAAAAAAAAAGGAAATATTCATATCAGTTCTGCTTTTTAAACATAAATATACAGTCAGAACAGGTTAAGGATTAAAGCTGCAAAATGGTTGCAACAACCTCAAACCCTGGTGCAGGTCAATCTTTTGCCCAATATTCAGATGTTAAAAGGAATTTCTAAGCCCTTTTGCCCCAATGTACTTTGCTGTTTGAAAAGCTGAACACTCAGAAGTCATTCATATACAAATGAGTACAAATAGCACATGTCCAGGCAAAAAAGGGCATGAGCTGGGCCTGAGTAGCCACATAAAACTCTGTTATTCAGTATCATAAAATCCTAAAAAGCTGCCCGGAAACAGGGCCAAGGCATCATGGAACACACCAGCCACCAATGGCAACCACCATTTGACACAACTGAGTTTCAGGCTTCAAGTATCCAAGGTGCTACAAACAGCTGGTTCTCTAAAGAGTTCAGGCTGATTCTCGGAAGCTCCCCAACCCCATCCCAACATCCCATGATACAAAAAGTAAAATACTGCTTAGGGCCACTACAGAACACTGGGATGGAAGGAGAGGAAAGAGAGAACCATTCTCCAAAGACACCAGCCTTACAAAATACAAATAAATTCTTTAACAATTTGTACAACTATAAGGTGTTTGAGCTGGTATTCAAGCAATCACTTAAAGTCTGGTTTTTGTTTTTGTTTTTCCTTTTCCTTTCTGAATCAAACAGGAAAATGGTTCCATCGGGTTAACAGTGTCATTGTTACATGCCATAAATTAAATAAGTTAGTTCACATTTTTCTTTTCTCTTCCCAGCACTTAAGTTAGTTAGTCTCTAATGTGCTTTTGAAGCTTGTTTTAACAGTTCCAGGTCTCGTCTGGGGGCAGTGGAGACTTTGTGACAGCCATATTCGCTCAGCTGCAAAGGGACAAATTGTTCCAGAAGCCCGAGACTCTGTCCAGCAGGACTGGTAAGTAGTTTAGTCCATGAAGGTTTAAAGTTTCCACTGAATCCCAAAAATATGATACTCCCTGAAAGAATATGAAACAAAACAAGAACACAGTTCAATTGGTATAACTACTAATTCCAGGTAAGATAATGCAGGAGGTGAACTAGAGGCGGGCAACAGAGATGGTTATAAACACACACACACAAACTCCACTTCCTTACGTCAATAAATGAACTCTTATCACCCACTTCTTGCCCCAAATAACAAACCACATCCCAACACACTTCCTCTAACACTGTTCTCTCCTTTAAAAATCATCTTAATGATACCCCATTCCAGCAAAACAAACTCATGAGAATGACCTGGCAGCTAAGTTCCAACATAAAAATGCAGATGTTACTGGTCTTGTAAGGATCGTAGAAAATGATAAAAATACAAACCATTGTGATAAAGATGAGCTGGTTTGACTAATCCCAGAGGTACTAATGAATCCGAAATATTCAACTGCTTTATTTCTCCTTTTGTGCTCAACAGAATAATCGACCTGCAATTAAAAGTTGAAAAAAAAATCAGAGTAAAATTGAACAATTCCACATATATTTATTGAGTGGTGGTAAGTGGTGTGTCATCAAGTCGGTTTCAATAGGACTTCCGAGGCTGTAAATCTTTACGGAAGCAGAAAATCTCATCTTCCTCCCAAGGAGTGGCTGGTGGATTCAAACTACTGACCTTGTGGTTAGCAGTCCAATGTGTACACTACATGTACAAAACCAAAAAAGACCAAACCACTGCCATCAAACTGATATCCACTCATGGAGACTTCACATGTTACAGAGTAGAACTGAGCTCCATAAATATTTCAAGACCGTGACCTTTCAGAAGCAGATCACCAGACTTTTCCTTCAAGGTGCCTCTGGGTAGGTTAGAACCCCCAAGCTTTCAGTTAGTAGTCAGGTGCTTACCCATCTGCACCATCTGGGGATCCAAATATTACAGCATAGAATAGAAATACTTGTTAAATGAACAACACAGAAGAAAAAAAACTCTCAGATGCATTCTCATCCCTGCTGTTCTGAGGTCCCATCTAGAACATTTATGTTGCTACTCTGAAGGGTCTCTGAATGTAAGTAATTTGATCTAGTCGACAGCTTGGGACAGAATTCTCTTAGGGAACAGATTATTATAACATGGGCAGTTTATTTTGGTCTACGGTTTATTTATTAAATGAATGGATACAAATGGATTCTGAAAAACGTAAGTAAATAAAATGTGTTCCCTATGGTTTGATTTAAATTGCTATCTTTATCATATAAATCAGCACAGAAACTCAGAGCTGCTTACAGATTCTCTGAATCTCTCCCCTTTGCCAATACTGTGCTGATCTAATTACTATGGCTTTATCATTTATATTAATACCTGATAAGTCCCTTTTATTATTGCAACTCATTTAAAAATACTTGATTACTCTCTCACATTTATTATCAAGATGAACTTCAGTACCAATTGTCAAGTACAATGGAAAAGTAATCCATTAGGCTGATAATGAAATGGTTCTAAATTTATATTTTAATTTAGTAGAATGACATCTTTACACACAGTGTTTTCCATGCAGAAATAGGACTCCTTTATTCACTCCTTTAATACAATTATTACTCAAATTTATGTACCAACCACTAATGCCAAAGATAAAGAAATGAAAGACCAAGTTCTGCAGTCTGAAACTGAACATCAGATACATTGATAATTACTGGTGATTGGAATGAGAAAGTTGGAAATGAAGAAAGATCAATAGTTGGAAAATGCAGCCTTGGTCATAGAAATAACATGGGAGATCACATGACAGAATTGTGCAAGACCATGGCTTAATTACTGGAAACAACTTTGTTCAACTTCATAAATGATAACAATACACATGAACTTCACTAGATAAAATACAAAGGAAGTTCCTACAAGTATCTTAATGCAGAAGATGTGTTGTTGTTAAGTGCTGTTGAGTTGGTTCTGACTCATAGCAAACCTGTATAGGGTTTCCAAGGAAGAAACCTTGTGGTAAGTAGTCCAGTGCTTATCCTACAGCACTACATGAGGACTCCAAGTGCTGTAAATATACAGTGAAGATTACAATCACAGGTACTACCCCCAGTGGCTTCATGGGACTTACTGAAATCTGGTTCTGTAATCTATGAAGAGTGTAAGTAAGTGATCAGATTAACTAAAGATGATTACTAAAAGTGGTTAAGATGCCAAAAGGGCCTTTACTCGCTGGGGTAGGGTCTTTACTTCATGTTTTCACTAAAGAAAGGCCCGTGTGTAAATCACTATTTGCAGCAAAGCCAAGTGGCAGGAAACAGCCTGAATTCATCCCCTTACATTCAGGTAGGGTTTGACCATCACAGAAACAGAAAGGCTTTTCTCCTGGGCATCCTTCCTCAGAGACCAATAAAGACACTCAACAGACGAGAGCTCTTAATAGAGACCAGACACTCATCCCACCAAAGAATCAATGTGATCTATTCTACTCATGGTGACTGGCTCAGCTATGACATCGTAAACCACAGCCATAGTGCAATGTTGTGCTAGGTAGGGTCCATCTGTAAGACAGCTGGCTGCAAAGGTAAAATTACCTATAAATGGCTTCGAAATGGTCATGAACCTTCTGATTTAGTTAGATGTAAGGTTGTTGCTGTTGTTAAGTGCCTTCAAGTCAGTTCTGACTCACAGAAACTCTGTATAGGGTTTCTGAGGAGTGGCTGGTGGATTTGGACTGCCAACCTTGTGGTTCACAGTCCAGTGCTGATCCTACAGCACCACACCAGGAGTCCTAGATGCAAGGTAGATCAACTTAATACTAAAATACGGAATTGTTATTGTGGTTGTTAAGTATCATCAAGTCAGTTCTGACTCATAGCAACCCTGTATAGGGTTTCCAAGGAAGAGCTGGTGGATTTGAACTGCCGACCTTGTGGTTTGAAGTCCAGTGCTGATCCTACAGCCCCACACCAGGAATCCAAATATGGGATAGTCATGTTACAAAATATTGAGTTTTTCTCTTTCTAAGGACCTTCCCACCATTTGTAAAATCTTCTAACATTCAAGTTGTCACCACTGATAAGCAGTGTGGTTATGCAAGATCATGGAGTCTCTGGGTGATGCCAAAAGGGAATGTGCTCAGCTGCTAAACAAACTGTTAGGGCTCATTGATTATGAAATAAAAGATTGGGCAGATGAACCCATGTTTATGCATCATCTTTCCAGAAGGCTCCGATGGCTTGTCACTGGTACACAGCAAGCTTCACCTACCTTGGAGGTATTTTTGTTTTTAAATACTCTTCCACATGATGGACATAAGCAAGCGAGAATATCTTTTTTTCCACCAACTGGAATGGAACACTGCACGCATCCACAACAAGGATGATGACACCTGCACTTTGGAGAGGAAAGTCTGTGCCATTGATCTGAAAGAGAAAAATTCTCTAATGAAATCACCATTGTGCTAACAGCTCCAGGTGGACCCTTCTTCCCAGCCTCTTCTTTCTGGCCTCTAAACCCCCGATTCAAAATATATTTCCAGGATCCAAATTGTCTAGTTCACTTGTTATTTCCCTGCAAACATTTGGGACTCATGCCTGGGGAGCAGTGGCATACTCAGCTAAGCTCAGTGACTCTTTTCCCCAGGGCTCAAACTGTTCATTCTTACACAAGTACTGTCTCACACTTTAGCATCAGGGGAAAAATACTCTAATACAAACACCAGGCTACTACAGTGGTCAGTACTGCCGCTCAGAGAGCTGACTTTCTGTCACCTTGGTTCAGAAAAATGCATATCATGTCTTGATTCATTTAAGTACCCCCATTAGCGTTTAGGCTTGAAATATCATAGCATCCAGCTGGCCTTATCTTCTTTACTCCAAATACAGTTCTCCTATGATATCAAAATGGGAAAGTAGTAATTTTCCAGAAGAAGGCACTGTTATGTTTTGTTTCACAATAAGTGTGAGTCGGAATTTCCATAGTCATCCTCTTTAAATTAGTAGTTGGTGAAACTCTAGGAGCTTCTAAATATCATTAAGTTCTTCATCAGAAAGCGAAGAAGCAAAAAACTGACGAGGTCAGGGAAAAAAAACAAATCAGCAAGGAATCATACCCACGGGCACAGTTTTTGTTTCTAACATGAAAATACAAACTGTGCTAGGAGTTATCAGGAAAGAGAGGAGGCTCAGGAAAGAGAGGAGGCTGTCTCCTCCCGTAAAGATCTGCAGCCTGGGAAATCCTACAGGACACTTCTACTCTGTCCTATGGGGTTGCTATGAGGATAAGTGGTCTTACTTCCCACTATACCTTCGTCAAGTGGAATAGACTCACTGACAATGAATTTGGCATTGATCTCATGGGAACCAAACGGCTTTTTGCTGTTGTTGTTGTTAAGTACTGTCAAGTCAATTCCGACTCACAGCAATCCTGTATAGTTTTCCAAGGAGCAGTTGTTAAGTTTGAACCGCTGACCTTATGGTCAAACCGACCTTGCGGTCCAGTGCTTTATCCTACAGCACCAAACCAGGATTTTGTTGTCATTGTTAAATGCTGTCAAGTCGGTTCTGACTCACAGTGACCCTGTGTCGGGTTTCTGTAGAGCAGCTGGTGAGTTTGTACCACCGACCTTGCAATCCAGTGCATTAACCCCAGCACCACACCAGGACCCCATACCAGATTTTTAGCTGTATTTCAATAGTTGTAACCCAGTGAATAATCCTGAAAATGCTGAGATAAGGTACTATTTTATAATTAAGAAAGGTTGAACATGATTCCCTTATTTAAGATATCTGAAGACTTAATATTGAGATACATTTAAGGGGGAAAAAAATATATTAAATGACCCTCAACACACTTTAATTAACCTGTTGCTTAAAGGAATTGTGAAATGTTCCATAAAAATTACAGCAATGCCATGACCCCAGCAAGATTCTCTTCATGATGCATATACAAGGTAGTAGAGATACCAGCTGCTCCTTGGAAACCCTATACAGGGTCGCTATGGGTCGGAACCAACTTGATGGCACTTAAAAACAACAACAAAGAGATACGCATGATAAAAGAGACACACATGATAAAACATGGTATTCTATGGTATCTCTAGTATCCCAGGCACCAATATACAGTAAGCGAGTTCTAAAAATGTCTCCAGCTCCTGGGGCATGCATGACATTTTTTTGGTAAGACAATACCTGTGGTAACTATCTCATACAGCAGAGGGGTTCAACACCCACCACTTCCCTTTAACAACCAACTGCCACTAACTTGTCTGTAAATTTCCACGCAGCTGCCTACATTAAGAAACTGAGCTAACAAACTTCATGCCACTAAAATTCTATGACTATACTATAAAATACAGGACTGCTGACATTGGAGAAAAGGTACAGATAGGTGAAGGAATCTTGAACTACTTTTCAGTAAGAATATTTTAAAATCAGGAGTTCTGTGGTTCTGTACAATAAGGACTGGACTGCTAACCACAAGATTGGTGGCTCAAGCCCACCAGCTGCTCTTCAGGAGAAAGATGAAGCTCTCTGTTCCTGCAAGAATTGACAAGACTCATAAACCCTACACAGGGTTGCTAAGTCAGAACCAACTCAATATTCTTAAATCAGAGTTGTTAAAAAGTGACCTTTACTTCTGTATATATATATTTGTGATGATGTTTCTCACCCGTAGAAAAACTGAACTCTAAAAGAGACCAGATGAGACCTGGCCCAGGCGTTAAGAGGCTATGATATAACAGGTTAGACACCTGTTTACCAGAGAGCTTTTTATGTGGTGGCTCCCAAGTCAATCGGATTTGGAACTGGCCATAAGCTAACACCTGGTTAAAAAGAAAACCAGTTATTGTGAGATTGATTCTGACTCTTGGCAACACCATGTGTGTCACAGTACGGTTTTCAATGGCTGATTTTTCAAAAGTAGATCTCCAGACCTTTCATCTCAAGCACCTCTGGGTAGCCACGAGCTTCTGAACTTCTCCATTAGCAGCAAAGAGCATTAACCATTTGCACCATCCAGGGATTCCAAGAATAGGTTACTTGTGGCTATTTAGGCTCTAAGCCCAATTCCAGTTTTTACACAGAGACTTAGATGTATACTTTCATTAACATGCTTAGAAAGACAACACTCTGTATATTAACTAACTTGCTCTGAACAAATTAAAAAAAAAAACAAAGGAGGGTTTTGTGAAATTGGCTCCTGTGGAGGTTTTGCAGAGTGTAGGACCTTAGATGCAATCCTGAGCCCCATCCAGAACCTTCTGAGGTGGGACATTCCCACTAGAAAGGACAAGCAGACCAGCCTGGAACAGCTAGAGCGACAGAAGATACATCTTCAAAGAAAGATCATTAGGAAAAACCCAAAAGAAAAATGGCAGTATGACTGGCTACTACAAGAATAAGCAAGTAGCCATCAAGGCAGTCAATCAAGTTCCTTCAGGATAAACTCCCCTCTAAGACTGAAATTCAAAAGGAGCACATGAGTAGGCATGTAAGCTTGCTGATGATCACATTGGTCTACTGGTGAGTGGAAAAGGCGGAAAGGCAGCAATGAAGAAATGGGCTGAGTTCAACCATGCTCCATAGACTCCCATTGACCTGGAGATGAGAGAGAGAAGAGGAAGGGCTGGTTGAAAGTGTGGTGAGACCTGGGGACACCTGAGCCCATGGACAAGGACATAGCCACAGAGGGCTAGAGCTGAGAGTGAAGCATCCAGCTGATATGAAGTGAGGGAAGATATACAAGAACACCCAAACTTGTAGATAATATCCAATTTACCTAGCCTTGATGGCTTGATAATCAGAACTCGACTAGAGGAAGATTAAAAAAAAGAACAAAACAATTTTTTATAAAGGAAATGAGGGTAAACTGCTACAATTTAATGAACTTGACCTATACTCATGGAGGTAGTAACTCTAAATATCAACAGAGAGGGAAGGAGTCTTCACATCAAGTATCAATGCTAATCCCCTCTGTACACTGGTGTAAATTATTATATATGCCTGAGTGTTTAAAAAAAAAAAGAGCTAAAGTGAATAGGGAGAAATACTGTTAACTGATGGTACATGTTGTTGTTGTTGGGTGCCATCGAGTTGGTACCGACTCATAGCAACCTTACGCACAGCAGAATGCACTGCCCGATCCTGGGCCGACCTCACTACTGTTGCTTCACTTGGAGGGGATTATAATCACTGTAATGAAACAAGATGTATGATTTGTTGAATGTAAAACTGATGATCTGCCCTGTAAACTTTCACTCAATCCACAAGAACAACCTTAAAAAAAAAAAAAAAAAGTCATGTGAAAGGAAGATGCATACTTGTTTTTTAATAATAAATAGAACTACAAAAAAAAAAAAAAAAAAAAAAGGAAAAGTGGTAATAAAAAATCAGAAGGCCAAAAGGGTTTAAAGAACTGCATTTCCCATATTTTTCACAATTACAAAACAAAACAAACTGGTTAAACCAGCTTTCTTCATATTAATTACATACGGCAATTATTTTTAACTAAAGATGCCTTTTTACTTGTATAAATCTGGCTCACCTGTAATAATCCTATTACTAAGTGAGAAATAATAAGAAATTTTCACATTACCCTAAAAATAAGTAGTTAATGTACTTTACTGGAGTCCTGGTGTGGCACTGTGGGTAAATGCGCTGGACTGCAAGGTCGGCAGTTCAAGCTCGCCAGCTGTTCCTTAGAAACTGTATACAGAGTTACTATGGGTCAAAACCTGACTCAACAGTACGTAACAACAATAACACTGAAAAAACAATATACAATTTAAAATAAATGTTTAAGAGGTATTTGTGCCTGGAAGGAATCTAATGTTAATTACAAACAAGGAACTACTGTCAGAGATACTGCATGTTACAAGGATGCAACTAAAAAGAAAAAGTTACAACGGTGTATACACAATCAGGAGGTACTTACAGAGATGACAGTTGGCTCTCTGCGCTGAGCATCTGTTTCACTGGGGGACCGAAATTGCACGGGGAGGTAGCTTTTATGAGGATCACTAGTAAACACCACCTAGACAGTACAGAAATTCCATATTGATGTTAACTGCATCTTTCTCCAGAGGGTCCTTTCAAAGTAAACTCAGTGATACACAAGACAGTGCATGTTTTTCTTTTTCTGAACTTGTTATACAGCTTTCATGACCTGGAATTTCATCTTTCGATGTAGGCTTAATCTGGTAGTGTATAACCTTGATACTCTGGAACAGTTCCATTTACAAATAACCATTATCCTGTTTATAATAATCAAATGTGCTTTATATTTAACTCTTTGGGACTATTTCATGCATACAGTCACAAATATGAGATCTCACCTATAGGAAATGTTCATATATATAAAAACCAAAGATAATTAGTGGTTACCAGAGTGGAAGTGTGAGAGAAAAAGGGAATTTTTGTTTTAGGATCTGTGTGAGTGGGTGGGGAGCTCTGGTAGCAGAGTGGTTACAAATCGGGCTGCGAACTGCAAGGTCAGCAGTTTGAAACTACCAACTGCTCCAAGGAAGACACATGAGGCTTTCTGCTCCCGTAAAGATTTACAGCCTCAGAAACCCTGTTCAGGGTTGCTATGGGTTGGAACTGACTTGACAGCACTTAACAAAAACATTGTGGGGCAAAACTCATTATCTGTGAACCACTGAAATCTAGACTGTTGTTAAGTGCCATTAAGATGGTTCCAAAATATAGCAATCCTGTATAGGGTTTTCTAGGAGCAGCTGGTGGGTTTGAACTGCCAACTTTGCAGTTAATATTGCTGTTAAGTGCCATCAAGCTGACTCCAACTCAGAGACCCTGTATAGGGTTTCCAAGGAGCGGCTGGTACATAGTCCAGTGCTGATCCTACAGCGCCACCATACCAGGATTCCTTGAAATCCAGATTACAAGTTGATTATTTCCAAAATACAATGATGAAACAGGCACAAGGAAGACACTTCCATTACAAATGGGAGAAAGCGGACTCAAAAAGTGATACAAGACACCAGGCAAGATTAAACCCAGCAGAACAAATTATCTCTCAGGACAAGAAAATAATCTTCTCTCTGAGACCATCTGGGCAGTGACCCCACCTTCCAAACTCTGGAGTTGGTCACACCTTCTGGATTCTGATTGAGGTCTTGGGCTTCACCCTTGACTTCCAGGCCTTCTGGGAAGGCAATTCTGCCTCCATGGCCCCAGTCTGCTATTCCATCTAAGTGGCAACCCTACCCTTTGGTCCTGTTCTTCTGTTCCTTTGGTGTGTCAGCCCTGCCTCTGCAGGTTTGCACATTGGCCCCATAATTTAATGACCACCCCACGCTCTGAAATCTAATTGTCAAAGATCTGATTGACACTTAGAAGGCTGTGTTGTCACCTACTGAGATTCAGGAGACTGTGGATCCACCCTGTGAAACCATGAAGGCCCTGTATCTGTCTGTGTTCCTTCTAATAATGCTGCTTTTCTCTGAGTCACTCCAGGGATGGTCTCTTTATTTTTCTTGGAGGACAACAGATGGAGCTTATTGGGTTGATTTCCCACCTGTAGAATTCCAAGAGGCAGACGTGGACTTATTCCTTTCAGTCTTTCTCTGTAAACTGATGGATTTTCTGTCCTTGCAGTTGGTTAGGTCAATCAGTCACAGCTTAATCTCTTTAACAAAATATGGTGTGTCCATGTCCTTGGTAAACATGTGAAGATACATGTCCTTAGTCGGTACAACAGAAGTTTCCAAATCTCTAAGTTCTGTTTTCATTTTTGCATAGTTCATTTTTAAGTCCATCTCTTTCTTCTCATATTTTTCTATATACAGCAAGGGAGAAATCACATAGCCCCTTCAAGATCTTGCTTAGCAATCTCCTCAGCCATATATATATTCAAGCTCATCCCTTTCATGAACTACCTTCCAATAAACATTTCTGCATAATTCAGACAAGCTCTTTGTCTTCCACTTTCTAATTTTTTTTTTTTTTAAGTTTTTAATGTGAATTGAGTGACAGTTTACATGGGAGAGCATCAGCTTTACATTCATCCTATTGTATTTCATCTCATTGCAATGATTACAATTTCCTTCATGCATCATCATTCAAAAGCATTTGATTCCAATAGTCTGTTTTTGTTTGCTTTTTTGGATGTACACCAAAGCACTCAGGAATATATAACCATTCAAACAGCCAAAGGGCACACCCTGCAAGTTTGCTCCCTGGCTGCCAACACATAGCCCCTCTTCCTGCTTGAGTCTAGAGTCCCCAGGCACTGCATCTCTCCACGTCATCGTCTCTGCCTCCATCTCTGGTGTTGCTGCTCTCTCTGGATAAGGTCCCACACTCCGTCTTCTCCCACGATGGTCCCAGGGTCCTCTGCTCCTGGACTGCAAGACCAACTACACCCCTCCTTTCGTTACAAAACACCTACCTTTACATTTTCAACGTTCACAATCAGTCCTGATAGCAATTATTTACTGTTGAACCACAGAGTCTTATCCCCATCTCCTTTCACCAGTCCCATCTAGATAGGTTGGAAACCACTCAGTGAAGAACCTACCCTCTCCCACACCCTCTGAAACTATGCTCCCTCTTGAAAACTTGTAAGCCAGTCATTTCATGCCTGGCTTACCCATTTTGGGTAGCCAATGTCTAAGTTGCCCATCCCTGTCAATCCTGTGTACAGAGGGGGTAGAAATGATCCTTGCTATAAAGATTTGTTCCCTTTTAAGCTACTACATCCATAAGTATGGTCAAGTTCATTAAATTGTAGCAGATTACACTTTTTTCCCTCGTCTTCCTTCCTGTAGTCAAGTTCTGATCATCCAGCCATTGAATCTAGGTCAAATGGGTACTCTCTCCAAGTATGGGCATTATTGTGCCTCTTCCCTCACTTCATGTCAGTTGGATGCTTCATTCTACACTCTACTCATCTGTGGCTATGTCCCTGTTCATGGGCTCAGGAGTCTCCAGGTCTCGCTATACTGCTGGCCAAACACGTCTCAATCCAGTGTGGCAGGAATCTATTGAATGTGGTTGGACTTAGCTCACAGCCTCATTGCTGTTTTTCCCCCACTTTCCCATATCGGTAAACCAATGTGGTCACCAGCAAGATTACATGCCTGCTCGTGTATTCCCTTTGAGTTTCACTCACGAAATGGGGTTTGCCCTGAGGAGACTTGTTTGCCTTGATGGCTCTCCCCTGTGAACAACTTGCTTGTTCTTATAGTAGTCAATCGGACTGCCGTTATAGTTTTTAATTTTCCTGCTGGTCTTTCTTTCAAGAAGTATCTTCTGTTCCTGTAGCTGTTTGACTTCCACTTGTATCAACACATTCCCCATCATTTTCTTTCAAAGTCTCACCAGAAGCACGTTTAACGCCCACATCTCTAGCACCATTCTGTTACTGCCTATAAATGCATTTTCAGAGACTTTTTCTATAGCGCTCCTCACTTCCTCCTAAGCCTCCACCAAAATTGCTTTTGATGTCTGTAATTCCACCAACAGTCTTTTAAGGCAATCTAGGATTTTAGTAATATTGTTGCTGCAAGGTGCAGTCAAGCTGGCTCTACTCATAGTGACCCTGGGTACAACAGAACGAAACACAGTCTGACACTCTACTATCCTTGCAATCATTGCTATGTTTAGGCCCATTGGTGCAGCCAATGCGTCAATCCATTTCATTGAGTGTCTCCTTTTCTACTGACCCTCCATTTTACCAAGTGATGATGTGCTTCTCCTTGGATTGGTTCCTTCTGATAACATGTCCAAAGCACATGAGATGAAGTCTCATTAGTCTCGCTTCTAAGGAAGCTATTGGCGGTACTATGGCCAACACAGATTTGTTCATTCTGGCAGCCCATGGGAATGTTCGATATTCTTTGTACTATACTTCAAATTTACACTATACTTCATTAATGCTTCAATCTTCCTTACTTATTGCCTAGCTTTCACATGCATTAGAGGTTAACTGGAAATTCTATCACTTGGGTCACAAATACCTTAGTCCTTAAAGTACCATCTTTGCTTTTTTTTTTTTACACTTTAAAAAAAAGGCTTTTGCAGCAGATGTATCCAATGAGATACACTGTAGTTTGATTTGTTGACTCCTGCTTCCATGGGCATTGATAAGTAAAGCAAAATCTTTGCCAGTGTCAACCTTTTCTTCATTTATCATGCGGTTGCTTACGGGCCCAGCTGTGAGGATTTTTTATTGTCTTTACACTGAGTTCAATCCAAACTGAAAGCTGGAGTCTTTGATCTTCAATCCTTCTTCATTTTCAACAAGAAAGTTTGTGTCATCTGCTACATACCATAGTTGTCAGTCAATTAACATTAATGAAGATTGGTGGCTTTTTCTATTATTGCTATTAAGTACTCTCTAGTAGGTCCCAACTAATAGTGACCTTACACAGGATTCTTAAGAGTGGGAACAAATTCAACAGCACTTAACAACAACATAGGGTTTTCCAAGAAAAGTACAATGTTTATCCTATAGCGCAACACCAAGACTCTGCTTTTACTATTCCCTAAGTGTTATCGAGTGGATTCCAACTCAGTGATCCTGTATCAGGTTTCTGAGGAGCAGTCGATGGATTTGAACAACCGACCTTATGGTTCACAGTCCAGTGCTGATCCTATAGCAACACATAAAACTTTACAGTCTCTTCCCACTACTCAATTTTATAATCACTTCCACATTTTAGGTATCTGTTAGAGCAGCGCCTCACTTTTCCAATCACAAATTCTATTTTGGCTACCTAGTGCTGCTATGACAGAAATAACACAAGTGAATAGCTGTAACAAACATATTTCTTTTTCTCACTCTTTAGGAGGCTAGGTGTCCAAATTCAGGGTGCCAACACTAGGAGAAGGATGTCTTTTTCTGTGGGCTCTGGAGGAAGGTCTTGTCTCTTCTGAACTTCTGTTCCTGGATGATCTCCACATGGCTTGGCAGCCTTCTTCCCTCATCTCGCTTGGTTCTTTCATCTCTTTTCTATTTCCAGAGATGGGCTCAGACACACCCAATACTAATACTGTCTCATTAGCATAACAAAGACAACTCCCAAATAGGATTATCACCTCAGACACAGGCAGCACATATTTTGGGGGGATTAAAATTCAATCCCTAACAGGGAGCACTGAGTTCATGTTAACGATGGTGGGAAAAAGTAGCAATATGGCTGTACAACATGAAGAATGTAATCATTAATGCTGAACTATACAAGATAGAAAGCGTTGAATTGGTAGATGTTTTGAACATATTTTACCAAGTACATATATCAAAATTATAAAACACATTAAAAAAATAAAAGAAGATTTAAAAAGTCCTGTTCAGATCAATTTTCCTGAATTAGGGCCCAGTCTTTGTAGAATTCACGGAAGAAGTGGGAGTAACAAGCACTACCTTGTTTTAAAAAATGTAATGGTCTTGTACATCACCAGAGCTAAACACTTTTAGTTATCCTACAAAGTCCTCCATAAATGGAGCCATCCAACATAAGCAGGTCCTGATCTCCCACTGTCCGAATCTAATTTTCTCAGAAGCATTCATCTACTTTTCTGCCACTCTCCTTTGCTGATGCTGTTTCCTTACATAGAATGTCCTTCCCTTTTTTCTTCTACCCCAGCAAATTACTTCCAGTCTCCAAAGCCCACTTCCTACCTTCTCCCTAAGGACTATCTCTCCCTTAAAAGTACCTTTGCTCTCATACAACTTAGCACTTAAAAGCATACAGTCCTTACAAGTCAATATCAACAGCTTCCTTTGTAACAGGACATAATAATCATGACATTATGCAGTCACATGATAGACATTCTTTGATGTCTCAGGTTTGGGGCCAAAAATTCATGTGACTTTTAGTATTTACTTATAACACATTGGTGCTTGTAAGCTAAATGCTCAACCATGAGGTTAGTTTGAACTGCAAAGTCAGTGGTTCAACCTCACCAGCCGCTCCTTGAAAACCCTACACAGAGCTACTACGACTGGGCACCAACTTGAAGACAATAATACCTAATACACATACATGCATTTGCTCTTACTATTAACTGGAAAAAGTCCTACAACTTCTAAATAAAGTGATGTTACCAGATACTTTAAATACTTTGCAATTATTTAAAATAGTTGGTAAAGTATTTAAAAATGAATAATGATGAATGCCTCAGACATAAAAACAGAGAATGCTAAGTATTAATGCTTAGAATAATTTAACAACATAGACTTAGAATATTTCCAATGATGACTGAATTGATGTTTATAAATTAAATTTTATTATAAATTATAATGTTATTATTATAAATTACACAATGTCTCTTTAGTAATGACTTTCTTGAGAAAGCCAATCTACCAGTCTAAGAATTATGCTGGAGAATTACTTTCCAGGAAGATGATCTCAAAACATTTTAATAGTCTAACCATCATATGACACAAATAAGAACCAACTCATACAAGCTTGTTCACATGCACACTTTGTGCTTTTGGTTTTAGTTGTACTAGAAAATAGAGGTGGTTCAGGGATTTGAATGACCAATATGTACTGTGACAGTAGATGTGCCATTTAAAACAATATTTTTATCAACTCTAATGGAAAACACAAATCTATCTTTCCTTGTTCTACTGCCACCAGTGGACAGAAACAAATGAAAAATAACTTATGTAATGGGGGGAAAAAAGAGTTCTTGTTTTCTCAAGTCACTTAGAATGATAAGAATGAAAAAGAAAGAAAGATTGAGGAGTTATCTCCATCTCAACAGGCAGTATATATTTTGTGGCAATTCTTGCTTTAAAAAAAAAAAACAAACCTAACATTTCTCTAGATCAACAGAACTCTGTGAGTATCAGAATTCTCTGGAGAGCTTGTTAACACACAGATAGCTGGACCCCCATCTCCAGACTTCCTAATTTAGGAAGTATGGGGCAGGATCCAAGAATTCATGTTTTCACCAAATACTTCCCAAATGATGCTGGTGCTGCAAGTCTAGAAACCACTTTACTTATCTCTTATTTGTTTGTGTAAAGATTAAACACAAGTTAGGGCAATATTAGTGCTTTTTCATTTGGAATGGAACTAACTTTATTTGCAATGTATATCTGATTTTAGCTCACATTATGGATTTATTTCATTACCGTGCTTTCTCAAGATCCAGAAGGAGACTATTTAATTAAGAATGATACGTGGGGAGAAGCTTTTCTCACTTGTAGTTAAAGCAAAGCTGTACTTTTACTTACAGATAAATATAACAGCACATACTTCAAAATTAAGAGTGGCTTTTCACACATAGGGAAAGCATGAGCTACATTTTCTGAAGAGAAAACTTCACAATTTTCCTAAGTGTTACATTCTCTGAAGAGAGACTTCACACTACAAGTAAAACAAACCAGATAATTTTTTATATCTCACTGACACGTAAACCAAAATGCAGTACTCTTTTGAAATCAAATCTCTGAGAAAGAAAAGAGGTGGTGACTAAGGTAAACAACTTCTCATTTCAAATCATGTAGAATCCATGGGGAAATTGATACAGCATGAGTTGGACCCTAATTCGTGTTGATCAGATGTGCATCAGAGTAGAACTGTGCTCCCTAAGTTTCCAATGACTGATTATTTTGGATGTATATCGATCACTAGACTTTTCTCCCACGGAACCTTTGAGGTAGCTTCGAACCTCCCACCTTTTGGTTAGCAGCTGAGAACATTAACCTGATGCATGACAGGAGGGGAGTATTTTCTTAAAAATGTGCGCTAATTTCCTTCTGATGAGCACTGCACTTTTTAAAAAGTCACTTATTCAGAAGGAAGCATCCAACAAGAACAAACTAGCAACGCAGATGTTTCAAAGAACAGGATTCTTGCTGCAAAGTCACCTTTGGCTTTTTCTCCCAGTGCACATCCCAATTCTCCTCCTTGTTTACCTGACGGGTGCCACATCTTGGACAGGGTCCCAAGAGCATGGCTGGCATCCGCTTGACGGCTGATGGCTTCTGGTAATATTGTGGATACGCTTTGGCCATGCAGTTACTGATGTCTTTTGAGTCTGTTATTGCCTGGATCTTGACTCTTTCACATCCCTGAGATGAACAGTAACTGTGACCCTCTCTGTTACCTTTGGCTTTGAGATATAAAAACAGCAATCTGTATAAAACAAAAACCAGCCCTCTTGGTATTAGACTTGGGTTTCCAAAATTTAGGAACTTCTTCAAGTAAGACTCATTGTCAAAATGATCTTCCTCCTAACGATTTACAAAACTGACAAAGTTGTTGATCTATCCTCAGTCAAATACAGTACAATGTTAGGAAATATTTAGATAGCCTGCTATAGTCATTTTGGTAGATAAAACAGCTGATTTCTGGTTTGAATTAGTTCAGAAGGTAATTTGGGAGGATGGAGTTTGGCTTGGCTCAAAGTCTCCTTGGAAAACTTGCTAATGGCACTGAGTTTAGGATTCGGTATGTTAGTGTGGTTTATTCTGCTTTTGAGGGTTCATAAATCATTTTGGTTTAAGGCATGAAGCTGGAATAATAAAAAGAGGAATTCTGACTTGTTTGGCTAAGGCCAAGATATGGTCTCAAATCCATTCCTGTGATGTTTACCAAGAGCAGATGGGCTTGGGGTCCTTCCATCTGTACTGGGGCCGAAGGCAGGCAAAAATGAACAGTCACACCCATTCTGGGTTCTCCTCCTACTGCCAAGATAAAAGAAAAAGTCTAACTTTGAGTCAGCAGTCCAATTGCTGTTAGTGAACCCAATCCTTCTAATCTAAAAGGAAGGTAGGATTCTAAAAGGACTAGATCAGATGGCATTAATTACCGGAGATCAGAAATTCACATTTTAATACAAGGTCAGAGCAGGATGCAAAGTTGCATGTAGTGGTAAAAATCAGTCTTTATCCTGACATCCAGAGTGGAGAATATTTCCCATCTTTTTACTCATTTTATTAATTTAATGAAATATAATTTGACTGGCCTTACAAATTAGGGTGCTCTAAGTATTTCTACGGAAATGTAGATGTTCTATAAAATATAGAATAAAAATCCAGGTAGACTGTTTAAATCTAATTAGAAACTGAAAATCAGAGAAAATGATGAGTGAGTTGTAAGTTATTGAAAGGCTAACATGATACCTAATAAATGAACCCCAATTTCATTCCTCCTGATCAATCTTGCCACCCTGTCTCTACTCAGAACTTTTCACCTACCTTCCCCAAACATGCCAGGCCACGTTCTTCCATGCCTCCATGCACTTGTACACCCCGTTCCCTCTGCCTGGAATGCCTCACCTCATCTATCTGTTCTTCCATCTACTCCTACTTACTCCGTAAGAGTTAGCTCCAGTGTCAACAGCTTGGGCTAACACTGGCTACTCCAAGCTAAACAGGTTACCTCCAAAACCACACTGAATGTCTCAGTGCAGGACTAACAGATCGTCCACATCAACCTTCAACGGACTATGAACTCACAGGGCTGAAGAAAGAGGTCTCATTCATGCTAGCATCCTTACTACACTTAGGAAATGGCACATAGTAGGAACAACAACAATGAGTACAGGAGACCAAGCCTACCATAACCCAAAGGCTGAGAGGCTGTAACTGGAAAAAATCAGACAGAGCCAACAGCACCCCAGGAGGACAGGATTAGAATTAAAAAGTGGAAAGACGCAGTCTAGAAAAAGTTGGAAGTAAATATGCCATGGTTATATGTGGTTTCGAAAAACTCAAGGTCAACTTGAGAGACAGCCTTACAGCCAGTTGTTGTTAGGTGTCGTCGAGTCGGTTCCGACTCAGAGAGACTCTGTATAGTTTCCAAGGAGTGGCTGGTGGGTTTCAATTGTCAATCTTGTGGTTAGCAGTCCAATGCTTATCCTACAGCACCACACCAGGACTCCAGTAGAAAAAGAAATATGGGCTGAAATATTAACTATAGCATACCTAAATAATCACTGGAAGAGTTACTATGAAAAAAAACAAAAAATTATTTTTAATTTCTAATTTGGCTTACTGGCTCTTTACTGACAAGAATAATTTCTCTCCCTAAATTGCCTTAATAGGTATACGGCAAACATTTTCACTCGATTCCTACTGACAACTGTAATTACAAGTCATTCTCATTCTCCTCTAAGCCTCTAATAGTGATGTGCACGGACTTATCCCACGGCAGCTGCTTTTCTAAGCAGGCATCACATCACAGTCTATTCTTAGCTGCTCTGAAGAACTAGTAATTTCACCATTAAAGAAAAATAGCAATAATTTTCAATCCTTGGTTCCACTGAATTACCCAGTGTTGGAGTCAAAATAGAATTTCCTCTCGGATTGCTTCCTCTGTAGTTCCTCCAATGAGCGTACAGGCTCATAGTCTTCCATCTTGGATAAGGAGCCATTCTGCCGCTGCAAAAAGCCAAAGGTAACCTGAAAAGTTGTGTCTGATGGATAGCAGAGACCAACTCGAATCCAGTCATTCCTATGGAGAGACAACAAAAACTTAATTCATACATGAGCCAACATCTTTATGTATGTGTGCATATATAGTTATAGAAAACATTTGCCTCTGTAACTATTTTAAGTGTACAACTCAATGACATTAACTACATTCACCATGTTGTACAACCACCATATCACTATCCATTTTTGAATGTTCTTCATCACTCTAAAGACAAACTCGGAGCCCAGGTGTGGTGCTGTAGAATAAGCGCTGAACAGCTACACACAAGGTTGATGGTTCAAACCCACCAGTTGCTCCTTGGAAATGCTATATAGGACTCACACTGTGAGTCAAAATTGACTTGATGACACGTAACAACGAAAGAGTAACACAGTGCCCTTGAGACAATAACGCCAGATTTTCCTCTTTCCTCACTCGTGTAGCTATTAATAAATTTTTGTCTCTTTGCATTTTCCCTTTAGATATGTCGAAGAAGTATGATCATAAGATATTTGTCCTATTGGGTCTGACTTATTTCATTCAACATAATATTTCCAAGATTTATCCATGTAGATTATATCAGAACTTCATTTCTCCTTTGCTGTGCAGTCAGTTCCTACTCACAGCAACACTGCATAGGGTTTCTGAGGCTGTATTTCTTTATGGGAGAAAGCCTTATCTTTCTCCTGCAGAACGACTAACAGTTTTGAACTGCTGACCTTGAGGTTAGCAGCTCGACTCATAATAACTATGCTACCAGTGCTCCTTGGGTTAGTGGTTTAAATCCATCAGCTGCCTATTATAAGTAAAACACTGCATAGAACATTAGTATACACGTATCTGTTTTAGTTCCTCCTTTCAATTGTTTCAGAGATGTATCTAGGAGTGGAACTGCTACACCATATGGTAATTCTAGGTTTCAACTTATAAGGAACGACCCAACTGTTTTCAACAGAGGCTGTGAGCCAATTATCTTTTGAGCATCACAGTACATGCAAATTTTAACTATGATGTTCTCCTTCAATCTCTGCTTCTTTGCTATGTTCACTTACTAGGAATAGACACCTGGAAGTCTTGACATACTGGGGAATCATTATTTTTGTCTGTTATCCACCTTTCTCTTACCAACATTTGATAACATTTATATGCCCTATAAAAAATTCTTAGTTTCAAAAGGACTTCAGAGAATGTGAATAGGAATTGGATAACACGTACTTGTTGATGTTGTTAAGTTGGTTCTGACTCACAGCAACCCTGCATAGGGTTTCCGAGGAACAGCTAGTGCATTTGAACCACCTAACTTTCAGTTAGCAGTTCAGTGTTTATTCTACAATGCCACACCAGGATCCCCACATACACTCTGTAATTGTTATTAAGTGCCATCAAGTCAATTCTTACTCATAGCAACCCTGTATAGAGTTTCCAAGGAGGGACTGGTAGGTTTGAACTGCTGACCTTGTGGCTCAAACTGACCTTGCAGTCCAGTGCTTTATATTGCAGCGCCACACCAGAACTCCCACATATACTCAGACACTGGCTAATGGCTAATAAAAATAGGTGAGATGGTTGGGTATGGGTGCATTATGATGGAATCTCTAATAGCCTGATGGTGGAAGGGTATCTGGTGAAACTCTTTCTATAGAATTTATAAACAATATGGAGCAAAGTCTGAAAACCATTCACAGAGACTTCACTCAATAATCCCACTAAAGAACAATTAGAAATGGAGATAAAAGATGTATATAAAAAGATATTCTATGAAGTACCATCTTATCTAGCAAACAAGAGGGGCCATAGAAACATAATGAAAATGTCTATGGGGGAAAGAAGGTAATTCAATATAGCATGGTACATCCACATGTCGAGTGACAATACTTTAGGGTGGTAAAGAAGAGAAATACCTCACAATAGCTATAATGTCTCATTTGGATTAGTAGGATTGAAGATTACTTCAATTTCTTTTAGGTTTTTCTTATTTTGTATAATGAATACGTAGAGCATTAGTTAAAGCTTATTTTCAGAAGTGGCACTAAGACAAAATCTATGACTTCTTAATCTCCTATTGTGGTTGCCGAGTCAGTTCTGACTCATAGCAACCCCGTAAAGAAAGAGTTTTTGAGGAGCGGCCTATGAGTTTGAACAGCCAACCTTGTGGTTAGCTATCCAGTGTTTATCCTACAGCACCACACCAGAACTCCAATCTCCCATACTTTAATTTCATTTACTATAATTATGGAAAATAGTTATAATCTCCCATAATTATATTAAGAAACAAAAATTGCCTATTTCCTCTTATGCTTACCATGTAATTTTTTACAAAACTTTAGTTAATTAACTATATAAGGAAAGTATGACTGCATTTCAAGCCTATGTGGATTTTGTTCATTTCTCATTTGAGGGCACAGCTTTTTTCTACTTTCAAATGTTTTTCTTGCCCAATATTTGATGAAATGTGGAACACATCCAGAACCCTGAATATCATCTGATTGTAACATCTCACCTCAAATTACCCTTCTCGATGCAACATTTTAGATTGCTGATAACTCTTTTACATTTCTTTTCCTTCCTATCTGACAATCATTTGTTCTTTCCACTGACTTCTCCACAGCTCCTATGTGGGACTGATAGTATTTAGATTGGGCTTTTAGAAACCTTATCCTGGACTCTGGTAGCGTAGTGGTTACGAATCGGGCTGCGAACCATAAGGTCAGCAGTTCGGAACTACCAGCCGCTCCACGGGAGAAAGATAAGGCTTTCTGCTCCTGTAAAGATTTACAGCCTCGGAAACCCTGTGCAGGGTCGCTATGGGTCAGAACCGACTCGATGGCACTTAACAACAACATCCTAGACACAACTGAACTAAGGGCTGGAGGTAGGGAGACTCAGTAGAAGGCTGTTCAGATATCTTGGCAGATGATGATAGCCTGAACTCAAGTCAGGAATGATGAGGGTAGAAAGAAATGGAAGATATTTGTACAGCATTAAGGAAATGAAATCAGTAGGACTTGGTTACTGATGAGATGGAGTGATGAAAGAAAATAGTCAGGTATAGGTCCTTGGGAATTTCAGCTCAGGTGATGGGGTAGGTGGGAAACACTATTTTACTGAGGAGTGTAGAAAAGAAATAGCAGATGTTATATAACATTCATAATGGTTCAGTTAAGAGAATGTGTCAGAAACTTCAGTATCTCAAAACAAGGGTATTCAACATGGTGCTCATTCCTCCTTTGAAGTGACATTAGTGGCTGAATTCTTACATATTTCATGTCCATTCTGTTCCTCTGAACTGGGTGTTTTAAGAGAGTTCTGACAAGTCATAGTTTTATGACCCATCAGGTGAACTAGCCACCTCAGTTTTTATGGACAGTCAGGAGAACAAGCATTTCTGTTTCCACTTAGGTATCTGAGCAGCTTCATAGAATTCCATTGAAATTGGGTTACCCAGATTTGAAAAAAAAGGCCCACCTATCTTTTCTAGTCTCATTTTCTGTCACTTCTCCTAATGTATCCTTATACTATCACATAGGGTACACTGAATCCATCCACCATTCTCTGAGTACAACTGGTCCAAACAAGTTACTGAAAAATTGATCTCACTCATGGTGACCCATGTGTGTCAGAGAACTGAACTCCACAGGGTTTCCAATGACTGTCACTAGGACTTTCTTCTAAATCACCTATAGGTGGATTTGAACTGCTAACCTTTTAGTAATCAGCCAAACGCCTTAATCATTTGTACCACCCAGGGGCTCCTTTGGAACAAGACTGACTCAGACCACTTCCCTAATACAGTTTGGCACAACACCTTTGCCCATTAAAAAAAAAAAAAAGATATCTTCTATTTACTTGAGTGTTTTTCTACCTCTTATACTATAAACTTGTGCATGATAAATACTTTTCTCATTAATCTTTATATATTCATCAACTGGAACATGACAAACATTTGAATGGATTAACATAAAAATAGGGTCTTGAATGAATGTGATATTATTAGGAAGATTAGCTAGGTAGACAATTGAGAATTCATGAAAGAATAGAATAGAATGGCACTTGGAAGACAGGGGTGGCCAATAATTGGTATTCATGTCCCAACTCTTCCATCTCAAGCTTAGCGTTTTTTTTTGTTAAGTGCCGTCGAGTCGATTCCGACCCATAGCGGCCCTGTACAGGGTTTCCGAGGGTGTAAATCTTTATGGGAGTAGAAAGCCTCATCTTTCTCCCGCGGAGCGGCTGGTAGTTTCGAACCGCTGACCTTAAGGTTCGCAGCCCGATTCGTAACCACTACGCTACCAGAGCTCCTTAGCGTAGGCATTACTAATCAATCATACCACACTCTTTAGCTAAATGGTTTCAAAAATCCTTCAGTTTTTTTTAGGTAACCAAGTGATTAGTTGGGACACATCTGATAAAACTTTCTGCATATCCAGATACAGGAAATCAAAACATTCTGCAGACTGGATTGACATCTATCGTTAAGTGGCTTTCTACATGCAACGCTCATTTCTACAGAAGTTTTCCCAGGGAGAAATGCTTTTAAAATGACAACTAATAACAAAGTTAATTAAAGGTGAGATTTTTCTCTAGTACAGTACTACTTGTGTGCCTTTTGGAAATAGGTCTATGAAAGGCATACTTATTGAAGTTGACGAGGTATAGAAAAGCAATCCGTGGAGCTGGTCCATTCCAATGGATGGTATAACCCTTCTCCAGCATGATGACAGGTTGGTACTGTGGGAAGGCCGCCCTCTGATTAATGCCCCGGAGTACCATTGGGTAGGATGGATATTCATCTCGTGTGATAGTCATAGTAAGATTCTGAGTGCTCCATGTCTGCACGTAAACCTTCAAAATATAATAAAGAATTAAAGGGAAGGAAGATTTATATAAGCGAACATTTACACAACAGTTACAGTGCTATTACTTTGCAAAGAGAGATTCTGTAGATTCCATGGCCTATGCCAGACAAAACGAACAGCAGCCAATTTCACAGTATGAGACTTTTGCAATGCTGCCTACCCAATCTGAAATGGTAAAAACACATCATGCGTCCTGCTAGCCAAGATCTTCATAATCTCTCCCACCACGCGAGCCAGCTCAGTCATCGAATGTCAAACCTCTGCGGCTTCTATAGTTTGTCAAAGTAATCTCTCATTCTGAAGTACACATGTATAGAAAATGAGGAAACTAATGTGAAAACTGATACCTTCCACTCAAATCCAAAAGACTTTCCTCTAAACCATGAAATGGCGACTTTAAATGTCCTGGGGCTCTGACTTTCAATTTTCCATGACCTACCTCAGCCAAAGTCATTTTTTACTGATCTTCTCCAAAAAAAAGTTATAAAAAACTTTCTGCAAAAACTTGGGGAAAAATTTTTAAATGGAGACAAATGTGAAAGTTCTAAATTTATTCCAGTGACATTTGAACTGCATGTCATTCAAAATAAAAATTTTTGTTTTCCAAAGACAAACCTCAAAACAATCTTCCTAAAACAAAACAGTATCCTGTCACCAAGTTCTCCATAAAAACAGAAACACTTGCAGAATACTGACATTTTTATCACAATATGACTAGTCTAACCCTCTGAAAATTCACCCACAAGATAATTTACTAGATGTTCATCTCTCTCTTATTATTGGGTGTCATCAGGTCAATTCTGATGCACAGTGACCCCATATGATTGAGAAGAGTTTTCTTAGCTATAGTCTTTAAAAATCGCAAAGTCATTCTCTTGCAGAGTGGCGATGCAGGGGTTTGAACCACCAACCTCTCAGTTAGCAACTGGCAGCTTAGCCATTAAGCCATCAGATCTCCTTGCGACAAATGACTGCAAGTCTGGGATGCAGGCCCAAACTCCAGCTTCTCAAGAGAGAATCTGGGGGCTGTGGTCAGGCCTGAGTTCTGAGCTACAGTCCTATCCTTCCCAGAGCCTCCTGGGAAACAACAGACAACTTATGTATTTCCATCATCTATAAACAAAAATGGAATTGCTATGGTACTTTGTGAGATAGAGGAATCAGGTTCACATTCTCAAATACATCAAAAATCCAAAGGATTTTGTAATCTATTGAGCAAATATTGAAGGAATGAAATTGCTGTAGGTTAAGCACTGGACTGCTAACTGCAAGGCTGGTGGTTCAAACCTACCAGCTGCTCCTTAGAAGTACTACATAGGGTGGCTACGAGTCTGAACTGACTCAGTGGTACTTAACAACCACAGCATACTAACAATTGTGATTTGTAAAAAGCTAAGCTCAGAAAGTTAAGGTTAGTGTTTTAACAACTAACAACAGCAACACATTAAAAGAGTTTTGCTGTGTGTTGTTAAGTGCTGTCAAGTAGATTCTGATTCGTATCACCCCTGTATAGGGTTTCCAAGGAGCAGCTGGTGAGTTTGAACTGCCATTTTGAAGTTCAAATCGACCTTGTGGTCCTAGTGCTTATCCTACAGTACCACACCAAGACTCCCATTAAAAGACTGCTCGTTGTTGTTAAGTGTTGTTGAGTCGGTTCTGACTCACAGCAACCCTGTATAGGGTTTCCAAAGAAGGGCTGGTGAGTTTGAACAGCCAACTTTGTGGTTCAAACCGACCTTGTGGGCCAGTGCATTATCCTACAGTGCCAAACCAGGACTACCACCACACCAGGAAAAAAAAATATGATCATAACTTGGTATTTAAAAAAAGCACACTTAAAAGAGTAAGAAACAGCAATTCATGAAACAAAGATTAGAGGAGAATTTCTATTTCATTAATTCTGCAGCAAACATACTAAAAGTTGAAACTTTAGAAACATTCCCAATACTGTTAGAAGCAAGACACATCTATATGCTCCCTACTCTACTATTAAAAATAAGCATGACAATCAAGATAAATAAGAGATCTGAACATTGAAAATAGATAACTATTTTGTGATAATATACTCATCTATTTAGAAAATTCAAATGTGGATGAAATATTCAAATAAGAGAAGCTGGTATACACCAGATCACAAGAGATGAGAGAAGAATTTTGCATCTTTCCTGCCATCAGCCCTGGGAAGCCCCTGACATGGATGTCAGGTACATGTGAATCTTCATTTCTTCTTTGCTGGTTTTACGGCAATGAGAGCCTTAGTCTGAGGGAAGCTTTCTTTTCTTTTGTGTGTGTGGTAGTTTTAAAATGCAAATTCTTATAATAGAGGTTTACTTAGAACCAGAATCTAAATTTACAAATGATACTGATTATACCATGTTGCTATTTTTAACAGGTTTGAGAGTGAGAGTTTTGGTATTTTCTTGGAAATGTGAAAGAACCATCAAGTAAATATTTAGGGAATCACAAACCAGATAAAAAAAAATCAAATTTGAAATGATTAATTACTGGTTTTCCTTAATCCTTTTAGTCTATCCTTTAGTAAACTTGAAAGATATCCATACTTGCTTACCATATTCAAGAATGTAAGAGAAATAAAATCACAATAACATAAAAAAAAAAAAAAAAAAAAAAGCTAAGCTATCAGGACCACCTATATTTTATGGACACATTTATAGTTATTTAAAAAAACACAAAGTTTTTACTAGTAAACACCAACCACCTTTAGACACAAAAACACACAAATACATGTGGCTGGCAAAGCATTTCATTTTTCTTAGTTTCAATTCTAGAATTTTTATAGATTACTACATAGTGATTGTTGATGTTAAGTGTTGTCGACTGATAACTGAAAGGTCAGCAGTTCAAATCCACCAGTCACTCCTTGGAAACTATACAGGGTCTCTATGAGTCAGACCTACAGACACGACCTACTTGAAACAACAACAACAACAACATCTTTTTTGCTGATGGGAATGAAAAATTCCACAATAAGGGAGCTAATATGCCATAAAAACAAACCAGAAACAGTCCTTATCCCTTTTAAGCTCTCTGTTTCATCTGTAGATAAGAATCTAAACATTAAAAAGTTTGTTTGCTTTAGTTTTCATTAAGAATCATAACATTCTAAGAATCAGGATTCAAAGTCAGTTTCTGTAGCATCAATTTCAACTCATGGTGTCCTCATGTTTGTCAGTGTAGAAGTATGTACGCGATAGAGTTCTCACTGGCTGATTTTTTGGAAGTAGATTTCCAGATCCTTCTTCTAAGGCACCCCTGTGTGGATTCGCATCACCAACCTTTAGGTTAACAAGTTGAGCAGTCCATTATTAAAACATACCAACTACTATCTAAAATACAGAAAGACAATTCTATCCCCTTCAAAATTTTAGACAAATGATACCTCCAGTCTACAAACTCTTCGATCCATCCAAATAACATTATTAAAATTATCTTTGCAACACAGAATCCTGTTCTTCACGTAATAATTAAGAGCAAGCACTTCAGTATGTGCCGGGTCATATGGTAAAATGTTGTGTATAAATGAATTTATTTTATCTGTATAATACCTCCATGAGAGAGTAACAACTATTATTCTCATTGTACAAAGACAACAAAAACCAAATTGCATTATCACCGAGTGGATTCTAATACACAGAATCATTATGGGGCAGAGGAGAACCACAGCATTTCCAAGGAGGTAAATCTTTATGGAAGCAGACTACTAAATCTTTCTCCCATAGTGGATTCGAACCATTCATCTTTCAATTAGCCCAATTAGTTAATTAACTTGTCCAACTTCTAATTTTAGGAAATAACAGAGCCAGGATTCAAACCTCGGTAGTGTGGCTCCAGAACTTATACCCTTAAACACACATGAAAAACAGTTGCTATCAAGCCAGCTCCAGCTCATGGTGACGTGTGTTAGAGTAGAGCTGTGTGGACACTATACAACATTCAGAACACCTCAACCATTTTTAAAAACAAACTGAAAAAAAAATACAAAAAAACAAAAAACAAACTCTGTTTTGGAAGTGGGTTGCCAGGGTTACCAGATAAGTACAGTCTAAACCATCCATAGATTCCAAGTCATACTTCCTAACCCCAAAACACACCACTAGTGAATAGATTCCAACGCATCAGCCCCCTATAGAGAAGAGAAGTAAGTGCTTCTTCAAGATTCTGAGGGTGTGTACATCCATACAGAAGCAGGCTGCCTCATCGTTCTCCTGTGGAGTGGCTAGTGGGTTTGAACTGCCCAGTGCTTAATCCACAGGGCCACCAGGGCCCCAAAGAGTCCATCATCTTCTTATGCCACCATCAAGTTCACAAATACATCATCAGTATAATAAAACCTAAGACTAGTTTTTAAATTTAAAAGGTGCTTCTCAACCTGTATTACACCCTTCCTGTTTTCATACAGTTATCTTAATATAATTACAAGAGTTTGCTTTAATTCCTCCTTTGCCCTCTCAGTTCCAACTCCCAGCTCTGTCCCTGTGTTCAGGTCATCTCTCATACCTGAAATAGAGTCCATCTCAGTTTTCAGTAACCTATTAATATTCTACTTCAAAAGCCACTCTTGCTCATTTGGCACAGCCCTGGTGTGGCGCTGTGGTTTAATACACTGGATTGCAAAGTTGGTTTGAATCGCAAGGTCAGCGGTTGAAGCTCACCAGCTTCTCCTCGGAAACCCTATACAGCGTGGCTAATGGGTCAGAATTGGCTTGATGGCACTTAACAACAACAATGACCTTGAAAGCAACAATAAAATTCTCTCTACAGCACAGTGATAGTTTGGGGGTGGGTGGGAAGGAAACAACCTGGACAGAGAATCCGAAAATATGGGTTCCTGATATAACCATATCCCGATCCTGTTTAGCTAAGGGCAAATTATTCACTTCTCTGGGGCTCACTTTTCCACTTGCTATACTAGTTAACATTAAGATGTTGTTGTTAAGTATGGTGGAGTCGGTTCCAACTCATAGTGACCCTACACAGGGTTTCTGAGGCTGCAAATCTTTACGGGAACAGAAAGCCTCATCTTTCTCCCACGGAACAGCTAGTAGCTTCTAACATTAAGATGCTGTTGTTGTTGTTAAGTGCCGTTGAGTTGGATCCGACCCATAGCGACCCTATGCAGGGTTTCCAAGGAGAGACTGGTAAGCTTGAACCGCCGACCTTGCAGTTCAAATGGCTTTGCAGTCTGACATATTAACCCACAGCACCATACCAGGGCAACATTAAGATAGAGTGGTGGAATTGTGTTTTAAATAAAATTCTGAGTCCACGAAGCCTTGTCAATTTTGTTTTCTTTTTTCCCTAAGAAAACTCAGGCTTTGGAAGGTGTCAATCCTACAAGCTGAGAAGTACTTCTCAAAGGCATAGTGTTATCAGGAGCAGTGAGGAAGTAGACATCACCATGTGAGGTGAGCCCACCTGGGCATAGGTCCCACTGCACACCACGGCGTTCCATTTGGTAACGTTAATACAGCTTGGATGGCGGATCAGGTAGTTGTCACTTCTTCCCACATAAGCATCCTTGTATCCTGTCACAGAGCCATCAATGTCATGGAATATAGAGTTCTTATCACCATCTAAGTCACAATCTTCAAACCAGGGACCGGGCTTTCCAAAGAAGACATTCAAAGAGACCTGACAACAATGAAAAGAAAGGAAAGCACAAAGTAAGGCTTCCTGCCACCTGAGACCATACACCTGCACAGATTCAGTAGTATGTCTATTAGAACTGCTTGGTGTTAGCGCAGTTCTGAGCGATCGATAGGAGAGCTGCCTACTATGATACTAGTCAGAATGTCCTGTTTAATTAATGAACGTGCCTGTGGGGAAAAAAAAGTCAAAACCTTCTAGAGTCCAAGTAGCAAACGTTGAATGTTGTCTACTTAAAAGATATTACGTGCTCTCCAGGCAAAACTAATCTTTCATGATGGAAATCAGAAGTTCAGCAGAGGGGGCTTTGAAGTCCTGTACATATTTGTTAAAAGTCATATTCTGTACCCTTGTGACCTGTATATTTTCCTTTGTGTAAACTGCAACTCACTATTTAAACAACCTTTCACTCTAAAAACATTTATTTGTTCATGACTCCTTCTACAAAACAAAAAAGTACAGATCAAATCTGAAACACGTCCTAAAAGTTAGTTATTGCTGGTTCCTGCTGAGTTCATTATCTGCTAAAAGGTATATATATGCTACTGACTCTCTCCTTTTCTCAAGTCCAGTTCAATAATTTTCTTATCAGACAGAATTGAAGTTTTTATTTACCACATTGTCACTACCACTGCAATCACACAGTATCAAGTATCTTATGTTGTTACGACTTGAGGATTTTTAATATGAACGCCATATCGACCATAACTATTATTTGATATGACCCTGTCAGCCATCATAAACTCTAAGCGTGGGGACTATGGGGGAAACTCCATATGAGCAGTAAGCGAACAGACACCCTCCATACTGGGAAGGCGATGCAGGACACTTCTTATCTGTGTAGGAAGCCATCTTAATCATTCCTGGGAGTTATGTGGCCGGAAACACAACGACCCAACGAAGCTGACATCCCAACTCGCACCTGTGTCTATGGGCCATGACGCAGCTGTTCTAGAAAACTAGCTACTGATTTTGGTAAGCCAATCCCAAGTTCTAATTTAAACGAGGCAGCCACAGTTTGTCTGTGAAGGTGGACAAAGTAAGTGTGATTACTTTTAGATGTTCCAATGACATCTAACTATCTACCTGGAGTAGAAGCAAGCTAGACAAGTTGAGCCACTACGGTCACTGTGCTAGCAACAGGGAGGCGTGTCATGTAACAGATTGTCCTGTATATTAAGGGCAAAGGGACATAGAACTAACCATTAAGAAAATTATTTCAGTAGGCTACTGAAATATAAACAATTTCAATAGGTTCTTTGCAAGCTTCATAAAAGCTTTTTCAAAAGTTTAGATCAGAGAGACCCCAATCTATATCACATTGCCTTCATGTTCCTCTTCTTTCCCAACCTTTCATCCTTTCATTCTCCAGAACAAGAGACCCAGGAAGTAAAATACCAGGTAGGCTCTAATATCCAGACCCAAATCTAGTGGGAATGAGCTATCTCAGCAGCTAACTACACTGAATTCCACAAAACCAGACGTCCTATTGGCCCCAGGAAACTCTACAACTGTAGGTATTTTTTCCTTTCAAGATACCACCTGAATTTCAAAAATACACCAGATCACGTGGGGCTTCTTTCTTCGCCTTGAACTCAACAGGATAGAACATGGACTTAGGGTTTGTTTTGGCATATCTTTCTCCTCCTAGTCATAATGACTTAGTGTGAATCCTTTGTGTATGTCTGATTTTGCGAATGTGCTATATATGCCCCCTTCTCTCACTATAGCCAGGATGTAAGAATTGTTAAGACCATACTTACATGCGGGCCAAACTTCACAAGGGAGATGTTATTCCTGGGGGTTATCTGCCAGGAATTCTTCATGAGGAAGCCAATTGCACTGCTGTACCTGTCTACGGTTGGTACATATTTTTTGAAAGTGCTCCTGGTAAGATGAATGGGCCCATCATAAATCTGAAAACCTCTGATTGGAAATGTCCTGTCAAAATAAAAGACAGAATTTATTTAATGCACATGGTCTTGTCCCTTAACAGCACTTCATATACTTACTCATGTAATAAACACTAATTTAAACTAGGCAGCCACAGTTTGTCTGTGGAGGTGGACAAAGTACGTGTGAACCACGTTCCAATGACATCTAGCTAGCTAGCTATCTGGAGTAGAAGCAAGCTAGACAAGACTTGATGATGATTTTTTTTTTTTTAAGTTTTTATTGTGGATTGAGTAAAAGTTTATAGGGCAGATCATCAGTTTTACATTCAACAAATATACACCTTGTTTCATTACAATGATTATAATCTCCTCCATGTACCATTAGTTACCAGTGGTTCTCTCAAGACTATTGATTATTGAATATCCCCTATGAACAAAGCAGACTTCTAGGCTCTGTGGATATAACGGAAACCGAGACAAGATTAGATCCCTACTCAAATGAAATATACACTGTAATAGGAAAGCAAGCAGAAAAACACAGAATAATTTGGGTTAATTAAAGACAAAGGTAAAGTACTTAGAAGACAGTAAGACATAGTAATGTAATAGTTAAGATCAGGAAGAGAAGTTATTTTGGATAGAATGAAGGATGGACAAGGGACTTCTATGCTGAGACCTAGAGAGTGAGAAGGAGGGAGGTAGGAGAAATTCTAAGCAGAGAACATTCCAGGCAAGGGGAAAAAAAAGTGCAAAGGCCCTGGAAAGGAACAAGCCTGGGGACTCAATGGAAGGCAAGTGCAGCTGAAGCAATGAGGGGAGTGGGCAAAGAGGTGGGCGGGGTCCACATCACACAGGGTCTTGTAGGCCACGATGAGGAATTTTTCTTTAATTCTACTATTGTTGTTATGTGCTGTGGAGTTGGTTCCGACTCATGGCAACCCTGTACAGGGTTTCCAAGGCTGTAAATCTTTACGGGAGCAGAAAGCCTCAACTTTCTCCCATGGAACTGCTGGTAGTTTCAAACTGCTGACTCTGAGGTTAGCAGCCCGATTCGTAACCACTATGCTACCAGAGCTCCTTAGGAGATGGAAAATCACTGGAAAGTTTTTTGAGCAGAAGAGTGACACAAACTGACTTAATAAAAACAAATAAACCCTCTGGCTGCCATGGAAAAATGAATTATATGAGGGGGTTTCAAAAGTTCATGAAAAAATGGAATTGGAAGATAACAAATTTTTCCACAAACTTTTTGAAGCTCCCTCACAACAAAGAATGAAAGATGTCAAGAGATTTGGTATCCATGGTGAGAGCTGACTATGGCTAGGACAAAGATGGAAGTTATAGAGACAGAGAAAGGAGGGAGATCTGTGATAGTTTGGAGAGAGAAAAAAATATATGCTGACAAACTTCATGATAGGGTTACTTCAACTGTTTTTTGTTGTTGTGTGCATGTTTTGTTTTTTAACTTAAATAACTGGGTGGGATGTGGTACCGTTTAAAGAACTGCAGAAAATACAAAAATATACACTTTCTTCAAATGGGTTTAAGAAAAGAGAATAGGCAACTAGAAAACAAACTGCAAGGGCGTAATAAAATAGTCTTGCCTCTTGAAAACTTCATTAAGACCTTTTCTTTGGTAATTCATGTACCTCTCAGTTTTAGCCCCCAAATCCCTAACAATGAGAACAAAAGCTTACCTGTACTTATGCAAGAACTTCCTTTCAAGCCAATAAATAGGAGTAAAAATGATATACTTAAAAACATAAAGCTTAAGTCCTCATGACTTACTATGTAAAAGGAGAAAACTAGGTTATGAAATTCATAGTATTTACTCATTTTCTTCCTTACTGTTAAAATGCAGGCTCCTTAGCTATAACCATATATCATCATCCATAATTAATGTACAAAACTCATAATACACTGGATTTTTCTTAGGTTACTTTACTATTAAATTCTTAAATAGCACTGCACAAGACTTCTACAACTAACTAGTTTACAACTTGGCAATGTTTTACAACAAAGCTTATGTGCTAGCAAGAAAACCAAATAGCCGGATTAACAATCTATATATGATGATGCACTTCTAGGCATACAACTGCTAAATGGTTCTGCCCCATATAAAAAAGCTAATAAAGATACCATTAAAAAAAAACAAAAAAAAAAAACTGGATTCATTGTCGAACAAGTAATCGTTGTTTTAGAAAATCCTCCTTAGCAAAGCAGCAATAAACATTTTTACACAAAACTGGAGCCTGCTACACAATGAAAAGATTGGAATTGATTTGGTGGCTGTCATGGATTGAACTTTATCCCCCCAAATCATGCGTTGTAAATCCTAAAGTCTATCCTGGTGCAGTGTTGTAGGATAATGCACTGGACTGCAAGGTTCCTTTAAATCACAAGGTCGGTGGTTCAAACTCACCAGCCACTCTTTTGAAACCAAGAGTCCACTGAAATTGTAACTTGGGCACACAACAACAATAATGCCTGTGGCTATAGCTCCACTTGGGAAATCGCTATGTTTGTAAAACAGATTAACATAGGGTATGTCTTAAGTCAATCTCTTTTGAAATAGAAAAAGCGATTAAATACAAAGGAGCAAGCAGGGCTGGACCTCCTCTCCCCCGCTCCCCCAGCCCTGCTTGCTTCTTTGGAATCGGTTTCGACTCATAGCGACCCTGTACAGGGTTTCTGAGGCTGTAAATCTTTACGGGAGCAGAAAGTCTCATCTTTCTCCCGTGGAACACTAGATTTAGAAAAAAAAAAAAAAACCTAATTCTCCAGATTTCTGTTTTAATCCTGGATGGATTGCTTTATACCATTATCCCACCTTTATTTATCATTACTGAGGGAGTCTGAGGGCAGCCATTTTAAGATCAACAACCATAACTCTCTTAAATTTCTATTTTTCTTAAATTTCTATTTTCCTTAAATTTCAATTTCCTGTCTCAGTCAGTTGGTGGTGGTGGTTATGTGCCGTGGAGTCTCAGTCAGCTATTGTTGTTGAAAGGTGCCATCAAGTTGGTGTCGAATCATAGCGACCTTACGCACAACAGAACGAAACAATGCCCAGTCTTGGGCCAACCTCACAATTGCTGCCACGCTTGAGCCCACGGATGCTGCCACTTTTCTAATCCATCTCCCTAGGGGTCTTCCTCTTTTTCTCTGACCCTCCACCTTACCAAACATGATATCCTTCTCCAGTGACTGGTCCCTCCTGACAATATGTCTTAAGTATGAGAGATGAAGTTTGGCCATTCTGGCCTCCAAGGATCGTTCTGGCTGCAACTCTTCCAACACAAATGTGTTGGTTCTTTTGGCAGCCCACGGCACTTTCAATACTCTCCTCCAACATCATAACTCAAAAGCATCGATTCTTCTATGGTCTTCCCTATTCACTGTCCAGCTTTTGCATGCATATGAGGTTACTGAAAATACCATGGCTTGGGTCAGGCGCACCTTAGTCCTCAAGCTGACATCTTTGCTCTTCAACACCTTGTTGTTGTTGTTGAATCGATTCTGACCCATAGGGACCCTATATAGGGTTTCCAAGGAGCAGCTGGTAAGCTTGAACTGCCAACCTTGCAGTTGAAACGGCTTTGCAGTCTGGCACATTAACCCACAGCACCACACCAGGACTTTTTCAACACCTTGTTGTTGTTAAGTGTCATCGAGTCAATTCTGACCCATAGCAACCCTTCCATGGTCAACCAGTCTGGATGTTCTGCATAGGGTTTCCAAGGAGCAGCTGGTGAGCTTGAACCACTGACCTGGTGGTTCCAAAGACTTTGCAGTCTGACGCATTAGCCTACAAGCCACACCAGGACACCTTCAACACCTTGTTGTTGTTGTTAGGTGACATCGAGTTGGTACCGACCCATAGTGACCTTATGCACAGCAGAACGAAACACTGCCCAATCCTGGGCCAACCTCACTACTGTTGCCATGCTTGAGTTAACACCTTAGTCACTCTTAAACACCAACCCTGGGCAAGACCTTACAAAAAGTCCATTTCCTCCATAGCGAGCCCCTCTTAAGCTCCACCCCCTGTCAAGACCCTCATAAAATCCCTCAGCCTCTGCAGGAGAGTGCTTCTGACTCTGGCCAGCAAGCCCCTCCGAGGTTTGTCTGGAATAAATCTGTTCTTGCTGTTGAGCCAAGCTCTCTGTCTTCCCTTCTCCTTTCTCCACTGACTCTAACATTTACTACTGCTATTGCTGCTGGAGAAAGATGAGACTTTCTACTCCTGTAATAATTTACAGCTTCAGAAATCCTATAGTTGGTTCCTGTGAGTCCAGAACCAACTTAACTGCTTACAACCACCACCACACCAACAACCTTTGCTGTTGTTGTTATTATATGTGTATTGTTTTCCTGGAATCCTGCTAGAGTCCTGGTGTTACACTGTGGGTAAATGTTGGTTTGAACCACTAGGTCGGTGGTTCAAGCTCACCAGCCACTCTTCTAGGGTTGCTATGGATAAGAACTGACTCGACAGCACTTAACAACAACAACAACAACAACAGAGTCCTGGTGTGGCAATGCAGATTAATGCACTGGACTGCAAGGTCCGTTTGAACTGCAAGGTCGGCGGTTTAAGCTCACCAGCTGCTCCTCGGAAACCCTAGACAGAGTCACTATGAGTTGGAACTGACTTGACAACACTTAGCAACAACAAGGTTATTAAAAACTGATGGTGGCTTCCATGGTCAAACAGACAGGATTCTCTACATTTCAGAATAACAAGCACAGTGGGAGAGGAGCCAGGTACATCAGCCCTGTGCCAGAAGCTAGTAAAAGGCGCCCTCACACACCACACTAGGAGTCTGTGCTTTTCCCTTTCCCCTGACAATCTTCCTTTGAGGGGCTGGAAGGTTGATGAATTCTGCCACTGACGCAGATGCCGAAACTTGAAGGACACTATTTGGCTTTTCTCTACCTGGACTTCTCACAAGTAAAATGACGACTTGCTCAGAATTGAGGTATGGATTAATTAGTTAATAATTCCCTAACAGCTCTGAAGAATCTTTCGAGTGGTAAGTACTATTTTAATTACTCTGCGATTATGATGACAGACAACATGCCTAAAGTCTACCCCCCACTCCCTTCAACATCTGAAATGTAGTTAATGGCAAATGGCACAGCTGTGGTTAGGTTTTGAGTCAGCCCTGGCATTATTCAGCTCTCATTTTCTAGGACGCATTTCAGTAGGTAATTTCCTTTTCCAGTGGCTGTTTTTGAAAGCCAACCGCACCAACTGAGGGGAAACGGAGCTAATATCATAGTTACGGTTTGGCAACTTTCTGTGACTCAAGAAAGAACAAAACAGAACATAAAAGCACCAGGTTATATAAGACCATCTACAAGGACTGAGAAACAAAATAGGCTGCTGGTTATATAAAATTGATAATGAAATCTATGAAGTGTTTAATAATAATTGATGTTGTTGTTGTTGTTATTGGCAAGTGTCGTCAGGTCGACTCTTACTCAGAGTGACCGAGGAGCAGCTGGTGGGTTTGAGCTGTTGACCTTGTGGCTCATAGTCCAGTGCTGATCCTACAGCGCCACACCAGGAGTCCAGGAAGATAATACACACATAATAACAACAACAGCAAAGGTGGTGGTTGTGAGCAGTAGAGGTAATTCCGGGCTCATAAGAACCAACTACAGGATTTCTGAGGCTTTAAATCTTTATGGGAGTAGAAAGCCTCTATCTTTCTCTAGCAACAATAATGATAAATAAAGATAAGGTGAGATAACAGTATGAAGCAACCCATACAGAATTAAAACAGAAAGCTTCTGGAGAATGGTTTTTTTAAAATCTATTGTTTAAATTTAACATTCTACCACTAAAGCAATGCTTACCTATTTCTAGGTAAAGTCCGAGGCTTATGGTCCATTCCTCCAATGCCTACATACTTGTTTTGACCACCCTGGAAGCCATAATTCCTGCTCTCCCCAACAAAGAGAGATTCAGACACTTCCTGGCTGGAACCTTCATCGCTTGGGAAGCTTCCATCACTGTTAAAAATGAGAACAATCATTAATCATACTTTTTGCAGGAATTTATGTTTACCCTCCTTAGAAAGCAGGATATAACTTGAAAAGCTAAAATGTTCAGTCAGCTACTTCTTCTAATACATAATATCAAATCATTAGAAACCGTTTCTAAACCTCATATAGATTAGTAGTTATTTGATGAATTTTATGGAAATAAATTTAATTGATTTTAGAAGTGGTCGTGTGCCATGGAGTCAGTTCCAACTCACAACACCCTGTCATGGGGGTTCTGAGGCTGTGAGTTTCTATGGGAGCAGGAAGCCTCATCTTTCTTCTACGGAATGGCTGGTAAATTCAAACTGCTAACCTTGTGGTTAGCAGTCTAACTCGTAATGCACTACGCTACCAGGGCTCCCTGAAGTTAGGAGATTTTATTGTTGAGTGCCGTCGAGTCAGTTCCAACTCATAGCAACCCTGTATAGCGTTTCTGAGGAGTGGCTGTGAGCTTGAACAGCTAACCTTGCAGTCAAGCACATTAACCCGCAGCGCCATATCCGGGCTCTGAATTTAGGGGTAACAACTGATTATTTATTCCCAAGGAATAATTTTGCAAATGGGCAGAACCAACATGCCCTGAGAACAAGGATGAGATGACAAACATGCTTAAAATCACTGTAATTTGGGGAAAAAACATTTAACATGAAAAATTTTAATTCTGAAGCTCCTTAGATGCTCCAAACTTTCCATCCTCCCTCTTTTTTGCCCTACTTTTAAGATCTTTGGTCTAAATCTCAAGCATTTCCTTCTAAGAAAAAACACAATGTGAAATTCCAGCAATACAAGTTACTACTCAGGTATGAAATTCAATGAATCAATTGAAAAGCAAAATGTGGGCCCTCTAGTGGTATCAGGAAGAGGGTGCTAATTTTTTTTTAAATGCTTATAAATGTACAGCCTTCTTGTGTATAATTTGAAAAACAACGGTTGTTTTTTTTAAAGTGGTCAAACAAGTTGTTTTTAAGTTATCACAAACCTGGCAAAGGTCAGTCCTATTCCATTATCTGCAAATCTGTAAGAGAAAAGAAAATGAAGGAACATTTAAAACGCTACCAGTTCATGTAAAAATAAGCAATTCCCTCAATATTTACGTGGTATAATATCCAGAGGTCCCAATAATATTGACTCTCTCCAAGACGGCAAGCGAATTTCACATCACAATCACTAACAGCACAGATTCTGTCGTTTGGATTTAAATTCTGGCTCAAGTCCCCACCTGTACAATTACTAGCTATATGATTATAGTCAAGTTCCTCAGCTTCATTCTGCCTGTTTCCGCATTTACAAATTACAATAAAAACTAAATCTTCTTCATAGGACTCTTGAGACAGCATTTAGTAATTTAGACAGGCACAGAGTAAGAAGCATAAAAGCATTAGCTAGAATTATTATTATTATTTTAAACTAGATCATGGTTTTTCTCTTCAATTTTTTTAACATTTAAATCCAAGCTATTTCTACAGATTTCATACACTATCAACTTTTCAGATGATAGAAGTCAGAGATAACGGTGACATTAATGCCAGATAAAAATATTTTTCTAGAATCATGAGCACCAATTCGTAGCTCAACATATATAAGAGGCCTCTGCTAAAATTATCCAAACAGGAAAAAAGTGAGGTGCTTAACTGCCTCAAGCCATTCTAAGACATAAATCAACAGATTTACGGAGGTACAAGTACACACAACTTCTGTTTTGAATGGCAATGGAGGTGCTTCAGAACACTTTTAGGAGTTTCCAGGAAGGAAAAAATACTCAAGTAGTTTCAAAATCTTTATTTAGTCTCTGACATGGACCATGTTTGTCATACAAAGTTCAATTTCCAGTTTCTGCTCAATCTCATCAAAAAACTCTGTCAGCAGACAAGTACAGTTCCAACAAAAGCACCTGGACCAGACAACTCCAAACCTGAGTAGTCTGGTAACTCTAGCATACTTCCTTATTGCCCGACCTGTCTGTTAATAACAATAATATGATCCAGAAACCACTGCTGAACTTGCATTCTACTATTTTCTTTTAATCCTTAAAAGTGAGTACACTGGTGACAGCAGATAGTAACTTTGCAGAGGATCAGTTTTGACTCAAAGAGACCCTATGTACATGAAATGGAAACACAGGCCACTTCTGCACAAACTATACTCACGCAGAATTCTGAATGACAATGTCTCCTCCTCTGACCCATGCTCCATTATCATTATTTTTAAAAGCTATGAGTCTGTCAATTAGAGCAGCTACACGTGGTTTTTCAGGATCTGCATCTTGATGAGGCCGAAATCTTTTAATTAAAAGAAAGGGAGAAGGGGGTTACATTTTACAAAAAGAGTAATGAAAAGGTGATGAAAATTGGCTGTTTACAACTATAAAGTTAAAATGTCAAGGAGCAGGATTAAATTTGCCCAGAACAAACATTAAAAAAAAGAAAAAAATCTTATGGGATATTTGTAGTTTAAAAATCCAAAAAGAAAAAGTTATGTGTATTTATATTTGTCCACAGAACTACTTTCATAATCTTTTCAATTGTTTTTAATATGAATTGGTAATACAGAATGGACACTACACAACATCCTAAACACTAAAACCATTTTAAACACAAACAAGCTAAACAGAAAATATGGCATGTTTTCAGAAATTCTAAAGCAACACAATTCTGGTAATGTATTGAATAAATAAATATGTATATGTATTGAATAAATAAATCACATATTTCAACATATGCATGTGTGAACTGAAATAACATATGAGCTATGTGCTGGTAAAATGCTCAACAGAGACAAAACTGGGGTGACATACCAAAAATACCTAAATTTAAGATAGACATATTTAATTGACTTATTCGGTATAAAGACTACATTTTACCTTTTTCTTCTCTTTCCTCTTAAACACTTACGTACAAGGTGTCAAAAACTATCCGCTATAATAATTCAAATAAATAATCTCATAAAACTGACTTAAAAGAATTCATTTTTATTTTAATTGTAATAGAGCTAGGAAAAAATACTAGGTAATAGCTTTTCAAAAGCCAACTCATCTACAACGGTCAACCATTTGAGATCAAAGGGGCAGCATTAACTAAGGACAATATTCAGAAGGATGGGGAAAGAAGGAGGCAAGGAATAAGAAACACAGGAAGGAAATATGAGGAATGGTGTTAACGCTGAAGAGATTGTAATCAAGATAAGTTGATCTCTGTAAATCTTAGCTCAATTCACAACAAAAAGTTAAAAGAAAAAAAAAAAAAATTCATCAGGATGAGCATTCCAATTATATCATCAAAACATATCACCTGCAAAAAATGTTACCACCTTCACCACAATGGCTGTGGTGGGATACAACCTGGTACCACTAGATATGAATGATGGGAGAAGATAACGCACATATTTACATACAGAAGTGCCAAGGTTCCTCTAAGGAGCATTGATAGCATAAGGAGTTACCCACTGGGCTGCTAACCACAAGGTCAGAAGTTTTGAATACGCCAAGCACTCTGCAAAAGAAGATGAGACTTTCTGCTCTCATGAAGATTGACAGACTTGGGAACCCTATACAGGGTCGCTACAAATTGGAACCAACTCAATGGTACCCACCAGTAACAACAACAAACATCTCTCTGCATGAGTGATGCTGGCCCATTCAAGGAATAAGACAGTAAATTTGAAAATAAGAAGCAGGGGGGAGGATTAGAAATGTGGGCAAGCACCAGGCAAAGATGCAGTTCTTCATTCCAAATGCAGTTGGAACTCATCAGAAGCATGGAATCAGGAAAGTAATGTGAATAGATTCACGTCATCTACTAAAAACAGGCACTGGCTGCTACTTGGAGACTGGACCATTCTGGAAGCTCCTGATCTATGTCAGGATGGTGACGTGGACTTGTACAGTAGCAGTGGAGATAGAGCACTACAGTCATTCTTAGATCATGTACGTACCCCAAATCCTCCTACACTCACTAGTTCTGACCTCTAAGACACAAAGTCTGAGTCTGAGCCATCACCCTTCCTCTCTTCTGGCATTGTGGTTACTGCCAAACAGCTTTGCAGCCAACACATAATTTTAAACAGATGGGAGAGATCTGGAAAGGAAACTACACAATGTTCTTTAAAAAATAAATAATTTTTTAAGGCAAGAGGAAAAGTGACAGTAAAGCAACATCTGAGTCTCTGTTGAAGCCATCTTATGTTTTTTCAACTTCTTCTCTGTATAAACCCATTGCTGACCACTTGCTTGTTTTTAGATAGGTTGTACAGGCAGTTCCCGGGTTACAATGCAGATCCATTTCTAAGTGTTTCTTTAAGTCGAATATGTAGGTAAGTTAGAACAGGTGCGTACAGTTCTTAGGCCCACTTCAGTACAAGAAAAGGCTCAAGGCCTTTCCAATTATTTAAAGCTGCAGCAAGTGAAGATCATTGTGATGGAGTATTTATTACAAGTAGGGGCAGATTCGATCATTTCAAACTGATGGCAAATTTAAAGAGCAAATAGAAGATGTCCCTAAGTCAGACACTGGTAACTAAGGACTTACTGTATGTATGTACTTTCATCCTCTTTCCCTCTTGGTGCCCAGAAAATGGTGATTTCCCCAATTTTAATGATCACTTATGGGATTTCAGCACACTGTTCAACCCTCCCCCTTAACTAAACTTTCTCTTACACTGAACTAATCAGGTCTGATGTTGTTTCAGTCTTTTAGATGGAATTTCCTAATCTCAACTCAAGAGTTTTTCAGAGGGATACAAATGATCTCCTTTGAATTCCTCTGTAATCTCACATCTTTAAGACACCAGGCTCATCTGATTAACTGTTGAGTCAACTTCCTCTTTGATGAACAGACAGAATAGACTATTTTCTGGATATCCCATGAGCCTGATGTTTAATTCATGGGTTTATTACTCAATTATATTAGAGTTTTATCATTTTAATCACGTCTGGGTTGCTTGAATACACGTGGGTTTTGTCCATATATTAGTTTATATAAAGAATAAGTGTATTAGCCAGCTGTCCCAATGTCCTGTTACTCCTTTATAATCAGTTCTTCTCAAAAAACTTTCATATGGAATTTGATTTCTTGCCAGTATGCATGCATTTATACACTAGCTAAAGGAGTCCTGATAATGTAGTGGGCTGTGTGTTGAGCTGTTAATAGCAAGGGCAGTAGTTTGAATCTACCAGCTGCCAACACCACTACCACCATATTCTAGTAAAATAATGAATGGAGAGCAGAAGAAAAGATAACATTATTGTAATATTGTGTATACACACTATCATCATTATGGTTTCATGTCAGCTTGACTGGGCCTGCAGTCTTAGATGTTTGGCAGTTAAGAGGTAGTAATCTCCCATTGTTGTTGGTGTAAGTATCCTCATTTCAGTTCCAACTCACAGCAATCCTGTATAGGGTTTCCAAGGAGCAGCTGAAGGGTTCGAACCACCAATCTTGTGGTTCTCAGTACAGTGCTTACCACCACACCAGGACTCCTAATCTCCCACAAGGAGATCTAACACAACGCAATCACTCCCATGAAGTGGTATGATGTGTTGTAATTATGTGTTGTGAATCACTTCTATGATGTTAATGAGGTCAGATGCAGACTAGACTGTATACTGATTCAATCTCTTTTGAAACACTCAAGGAGCGAGGAGTGAGCAGAAGAGCCAGGAGTGGAGTGTATTCTTTGGACATGAGGTCCCTACACTGTGAAGTTCCTACATCCAGAGCCAAGAAAGAGATACCAAGAGGCAGCACTCTGAATTTGAACTCCTAGCCTCCTAAACGGTGCAAGAATACATCTGTTTGTTAAAACCATCCACTTAAGGTATTTCTGTTATAACAGCACTACACTGCTTAGACACATGGCTGCTTAAAATAAACAAAACAAAAAACTTCTTCACTTCTTAATTTGTCAAAAAATATCAATGGATTTTAAAATCTATTAACTCATCCACCCATTCATGACTTCTTAAATGTCTTCAGTTTCTCAGCTTCAGAACAACTATTCTGACCATTGCTTTAAAATATTTCAGACTCAAGTTGACCTTTAAGTAATCCTGATGAGTGACTGTATCAACTACACTTTCCCAGTTTTCTCCTGACCTCAGGCCTTACTCATGTGTCACAAAGATCTTGTCTCACATCTAAATCAGATTCACTGACCTACAGCAGTGGTTCCAACTCTATTCCTTTATGATAGAAATTAACTGAGTCTAATATTCTTTTCTTAGTTGACTGTTAGTAGAGTCTATTAAACCTAGCACCTTGTGAACGCCAAAGGTTGGTCAGTCAATTGGATAAATGGAAAAACAACCTCTGCATGGTTTCTACTGAATATGACTTGTTTGCCCTTTTTTTTTTTATTTGCGAAACAGCTCATTTCCACCTGAAGAATTGTATTTCTTTTGGCTTATATATTGAATGTAAGAGATTTTTGCTGATACGCTGATTCATATCCCAACCACGTGTTGAGGTATTATAAAGGAGAGTAACTTAAGAGTCTTGGTATGTGAATCGGAGACTAGAAACCACACAGCTTGATCATCAAGTTTGGGACTCTTCACTTGAAGGGGATTTAATGCAATCTTCCACTCTGACCACTAAGAATTCATTCTATGTACTTTGGCTTTCAGGCATTACACTAAAACATGATCTTAGTTTAACTTGTTATTCAATGAGTCATATTCTATTTTAGGCCAAATTTAGGCTCTTTTTCCACAGATCTCTCTCTTTCTGCAACTCCCTGTAACATCAGTTTACAGCTGTGAAAAAAGCATAAAAACATCAACTTTCTCTGGCATTTCCATAAGATAAAAGCCTAGTCACACAGCACAGAACAGCAGAATAAATATTTTTCCAAAACCCTCCTAAAACTTTCAAACTTTCATTTCAAACATTAGCACCCAGAAAGTGTAGTTTTGGCTTTGGTGAAATAATGCCTTGAATGTAATGGAAAAGAATCAGCTCTACCTTGCACTATTATCCAGACAGAGGTATTCCCGTGGGTCAGCGGCACTAGCATGGACTGTTTTGACACCTTTATCAATAAATAAGCCAGCCTGAAAAATACAATTGTAAACCAAAAGGAATTATGAATTTCAATTTCACATCTTCATACACAATGATTCATGAAAATAAATTTTAGCTTTTTGTTTCCCCCAAAAGGGAAAAAAAGAGTAACCAGTAAAGCAAAAGTATTATGAAAAATGGCTACTTTCCCAGATATTTTTATAATTTTACTTATTTTGTCACTCACTCAAGGTTAACTTAGTATCTACCTTGTGGTAGGCACCAAGCACAAGAAAAACATGGTTCTTATTTTTACAGATACTTGAAATAGGACAAAGATACAATTAAAGAAATCATTACAATCCAATCTGATAAGCAATCCTGTCTGACATGAAAAGCACATGGTGCTGTGGAAATAAGAAAGGCATCTAAATGTGGGTGGGTGAGAGATTCAGGTACCCTCTCTCCTAACAGAAGTGACTTCTAAAGCCAACATCTGAAAGACAGAGAGGAATTAACCATACCAAGGAATGGGTTGGAGACCCAGGGTCTGAAGTAGATAGGAGGCAGCTGAAGAATCCAGAGAAAAGTATTCAGAGAATTGTTTACATGAAAGTCTGGAGCTCAGAGACTATGACACACTTAAGCAGGAAAAAAAATCTTAGATAAACCAGCAAGAATGAATGGAATGAAGGACAGGTAGGAAATAATGACAGAAGAGAGAACGCCAGTTCATGGAGTCCTGGAGCAGCGCTGTAGGATCAGCAATAGACCACTAACCACAAGGCTGGTGGGTCAAACTCACCAGCCACTCCTCAGAAACCCTATAAGGGGTGCTATGAGTCGGAACTGACTCAACGGCACCAAACAACACAGAGCTAGTAAGCTGTTTGAGCCAAGACCAGGGGATCTTTAATACAGACCATTTGGTTGACTGAATGTGTAGAAAAACACTAAAGCTGCAACATGGGTAATAGACAGGTAATGGAAAGGGACAAAATTCCAGGGGAAAGATAACAGACCGGGGCAGCAATCAAGACAAATAAAAATGACCTGGACTTGTAGCTCTAGTAGTAGAGAAAAATATATGGGGCGGGATGTCCTTGCAAAGGTATTATTATCTTTTAGTAATTAATAAAATGTCTGGAGGTAAGGGGAAGTACATAATAAAGGCACATTTATTTCTGGCTTGGCCAACTACTAGGGGGTTAGCTACTGGTTTCATTCACTGAAACAGAAATGCAGGAATAGGTCTACGGGTGAAAATAGGGACTTTAGTTTTAAACATATTTTATTTATGTGCCTATGAGAGATACAAATGTTGCAGTTAGGTAAATATGGCCAAAGTGGACTAGAGAAAGATTTGGGAACCCTTACCTACTGGAGCCATAGGAGCTCTGGTAGCGTAGTGGTTACGAATCAGGCTGCGAGCTGCAAGGTCAGCAGTTCAAAACTACCAGCTGTTCCGCGGGAGAAAGATGAGGCTTTCTGCTCCCGTAAAGATTTACAGCCTCAGAAACCCTGTACAGGGTCGCTATGAGTCGGAACCAACTCCACGGCACATAACAACAACAACAACCTACTGGAGCCATAGGCCAGTGTGTGTATGCACACATGCCGTCAAAATGGGGATCACGCACTAGGAGGAGAAAACGTAGTTAGGCAGAACCCCAATGAACACCCAATGAACAGAGAATGGAATACAAAGGAATTGAACAGAGAAGAAAACAAAGAACTGAAAACTAAGGAACAGACATTTGAAGGAAGATAGAGGAAAAAAGCCCAGGAACATACACCGCCAGTTTCACAGCGGCATTTGATCGTGATGTGTGTGTTATTAGGTGCTGCTGGGTCAGTTCCTACTCAGAGACCCTACATACAACAGAACAAAACACGGTCTGGCCCTGCTCCCTCCTCACAATATTTCCTATATTTGAACCTGTTGTTGCCACTGTGTCAGTCCATCGCATTGGAGGTCTTCCTTTTTCACGGACCCTCCACTTTACCAAGCATGATGTCCTTCAACAGGGGCTGGTCCTTCCTGGTGTATGCATCTACCCATTTTTTTAAAAAAAATTAATTTAATTCAAGTAAGAAAATGTGGTCTACTTTTTTTTTTTTCTTTTTAATGACAAATCATTCAGAGTTACTTCAAACCTTTGACTAATATTAGCGTATTTGGTGGATGAGAAACTCAGATGTAACTTTCAAAGGTGAAATGGGATTATTTGGAACAAATGTTTTAGAAATCTCTGATCACTGTACAACTTATGGGCCTGAAATGAGCCAGTGATGGAATATAATGCTGACTTGGAATCAATTATACAAGCATAAGGAGTTCTAGTGTGTCAACGTGGGTTAATGTGCTGGATTGCAAAGCCAATTTGAACTGCAAGGCTGACAGTTCAAGCTCACCAGCCGCTCCTAGGAAACCCTGTATAAGGTCACTATAAGTCAGAACCGACTTGATGGCACATAACAACAATAGTACAAGCATATGGACCCCTGGTGTAGCGCTGTGGGTTAATGCACTGGATTGCAAAAGGTGGTTTCAACTACAAGGTCAGCAGTCCAAGCTCACCAGCTGCTCCTAAGAAACCACTTACCAACAATAATACAAGCATATGTGTGTGTATTCACGGGTAACCCAGGACTCCAAGGGCTGAAGTTCCTTTGCCTGTATCATCTTGGAATTGTCAAGTCAATTCTGATTCACAGTGAGCTTTTGTAAGATTTCTAAAGAGCAGCTGGTGGTTTTGAACCTCCAATCTTGTGGTTAGCCATCCTGTGCTTATCCTACAATGCCACACCAGGACTCCAAATAGTCATTTCTTAGTCCAAAACCTAGTCATTTAAATTTGTTACTCTTATAATTAACTGTCGTTAAGTGCTGTTGCATAGGTTCCTCGACTCATAGTGACCCTGTACAGGATTTCCAAGAGCGGCCAATAACTTTGAACTGCCAACTCTGTGATTCAAACCAACCTAGTGGTCTGGTGCTTTACCCCACAGCACCACACCAAGACACCCTTATAATTAATAGATTAATACAGAGTATCATGGGAGCATGATGGCTCTGTAAAATAAGCATTAGACTGGGTAACACAGGTTTGGCTTGAGTCTACCAGCTACTCCATGGGAAAAAGATGAGGCTTTCTGCCCCTGCAAAGATTTATAGCCTAAGAAATTCTATATGGGCTCTCTATGAGTTGGAACTGATTTAATAACACTTAACAACAACAACAAAGTATTCATTGTAGATGAAATAAAACACCAAATTAATTAGAACAAGGTGCTTTTATACCATTTACAATTAGAAAATTTTGAGGATTTCTACTTTGAAATGCTACTTTATATAATCATTAGTCAATTGTTAACTATTCACAAAAATCACTTCATAACTCTATGTAAAGAAAGTTCTTTTCATCTCTCAAGTTTTCTTCAAGTGATTCTACGTACTTAAAATTAGAACACATTGGGTTCTAAAAAAATCCTCTGATTGTCATAAAAAGACTATCAAGGAAATTGTAGTTCTTAAATGTCTTTTAGGAACCCAGGCAGCTGTTAACTGAAAGGTCAACTGATTTGCATTCATGAAAGATATGGCAGAAGTTGCTTTCTAGAAGATTCCAAAATCAAGTCCACAGTCATCAAATCTATTCCAATTCATAGTGACCCAGCATAGAACCGGTTACCAAGGCTGTCAATCTTTATGGGAGCAGACCAGCCCATCTTTGTCCATTGGAGTAGCTGTTGGGTTTGAACTGCTCATCTTAAGGTTACAAGTTCAGCACTTGTCCTACAATGCCACCAGGACTCCTTTGCTTAAAGATTATTGTAATTAAGGGCTATAGAGTAGGTTCCAACTCAGAGTGAACCTGTATCGAGTTTTCGAGGAGCAGCTTGTGGGTCTGAGCTGCAGACCTTGTGACTCGAAGTCCAGTGTTGATTCCACAGCACAACAGCAGGAGTCCTTAAAGATTAAAGCCTTGGAAATCCTCTGGAGCTCTTCTACACTATCCTATTGGCTATGAGAATCAACTGAGCAGCAACGGACTGTTTTTAGTAGCCTTTTACTTTTCTATCATTTTAGATTAGGTCACATTTTTAAGCAATATTTCATCTGTTAGTATAATTAGCGTTATACGCCCAACAACACAGTACACTCTGCCGTTTACTTGGACTAAGAAGAGAGGAAGGAGCAAGTGACTTCTGAGAAGTTTATCATCTGATGTGTGGTCATCATCATCTTCCCAAAAGTGAGATGGCCAGAGGACAGGAATAAGTAGACAATGACAACACAGGGTTCAAATCTGCTACATAATTCTTCAGGAAATGTGTACCTATTATCTTAGTGTATATTCATATATGTGGATAGACGGCGACTGCTAGTTTTTAAATGTAAACTAACTTCTTTCATGACAAGTCTTACCCCAAACTGACATTTCTGAGTTGTGATCACAACAGTTCCTCTTTAACCCTATAAATCTTATATAGCAATTTCTAAAACGTAGGAACCTACCTTAAAATTTGAATGGACTCTGTTGTTATAAAATATACCTAATGGTGTGAGTTCTGGTTTTGCTGAGAGCTGCAATCCACTGGATTCTCCAGTAGGTTCTTTGTGGAATAAATACCATATTCCAGCATCCTGCAATTGAAAAGGACAAGATTACAAATCATCTTAATTTATAAAGCCACTCTCTGAAACATCTTTATAAGCTTAAATGCTTCATAATCAGGTATAATCTCTTTGGCAGAATCCCTATAAAAAGTTGTGTATACAGCACACTCAAAGCAGTAATATCTTTGGCCCTCACTCTTTTTTGAAAAAAGCAAACTTGTTAAAAGATTGGATCAAAGAGTGAAATAACTGGCTAATGCTAAACTTTACTTTTGAAATAACCTTCCCATCACAATCTGTTCTGCAGAAGATTCAAACAAAGAAGACTTCAATGTGACGAGATTACAGCCTTCAAGAAGAATGTTGTTGCTTTTCTGTTTACCTCAAAAAAAAAATCAGATCAACAGACGAGCCATGCCTACCCAACAACTATTCTGCGGACATGTGGAGCTCACTGGCTTCTTTCAAACAACTCCAATGCCCTTCCTGTCCTGAGGCAAATTTTTGTTCAAACAAAAAATACCACATGCTTGAATTACGATGCTGTCTGAGTCTGGATCTTGCCTGTTCAATTTAGCGATTACTTATCTTAATAGAAACAGAAAAGTTTTAAAAATCATGATACCCAAAATGAGATCCTGAAAATGGAAAACTACTTTCCTTAGTTCCTTTAGTATTTTATTTTAACTAAAATTTAGCTCCGTGTAAAGAATAACTTCACGTATGCAACTTTCATTACACAGGTTAAAAATTTACATACCACAGTGTAAAAGGGTAGTCTGAACACTAAGTCAAATCTGATGAACATTTATGGAGTTCCGTATGTGCCAAGTAGACTCCTTGAATGGTACAAATGGCTAACTGAAAGGCTGGAGGTTTGAGTCCACCAAGAGGTGCTTTGGAAGAAAAGTCTGACAATGTGCTTGTCAAAAATCAGTCCCTGAAAAAATCTATGGAACCCAGTTACCCTCTGACACACATGGAGTCCACATGAGTCTGAATCAACTGATGGCAGCTGGTTCTGGTTTATGTGCAGGTTCACAGATGATTCTCAAGGAATTCATAGTCTAATGGAAAATCACATGGAAAACCAAGACCACGCCCACTAGCGTCGAGTTGACTCTGACTCACAGGACAATACAAAGAACACTGTAACAAGACTATATGAGGAGGCTTCCAAACGTTCTTAGAAAAATTCCAATATCTGTTAATTCCATTTTTACACAAACTTTATGAAGCCCCCACATAAATAACGTTGTTGTTGTTATTAAGTGCCATGGAGTTCCGATTCATAGCAATCCTGTAGAGTTTCCAAGGAGCAGCTGGTGAGCTTGAACCATTGACCTTGCAATTCCAACCAACCTTGCAGTCTAGCACATTAACCCACAGCACCACACCAGAACTCCATCAAAGATGTTATTATTGTTGTATGTTGCCAAATTGATTCCAACTCATAGCAAACCCATGTGACAAAAAAGAACTGCCCATAGGGTTTCCTAGGCTGTTATCTTCATGTAAAATGTCTGGTGGTTTCAAATCACTGACCTTTCAGTCAGCATCCAGTGCATGACCACTGAAGCACCAAGCTTCCCTAGAGATCCCAGCCCAGGAACCATCATGCAGCAGTTCTACTCTGTCCAAAAGGGTCAACTATGAGTTAGGATGGACTTGACAACACACAACCACAAAAATATAACATACACAATATGTGGAACCAACAGTTAAGCTCTTTGACTTCTAGCTGAAAGTTTGGCAATTTGAATACACTCAGAAGTGCCTCATTAGAAATACCTGGTGAAATATTACAGCCTTGAAAACCCTATGGAGCAGGTCTATTCTGCACACATGGAATCATAATGAGTGGGAATCCAGTTGACAGCAACTGACAACCACCACAGTAAGTACCCTATTAGTCCAACAGAATAAAATCCTTTGAAAACCTAAGAGAAATAAATAGTGGAAAGAATATATACTTAACACATCAAAGGGAGTACAGTATTAACCATTTTTCCATTAGAAAAGTGTAAAGGTGAATCTTAACAACAAAATACTCTAAACAATGTGTTTGCCACTTCAACTTTTTTACATGCAAAACAGATATCCCAATGGGAAAAACACTGGGTGGTTGTCAAGAAGACTCAGTACCCCAGCTCTAGAAGCAGAGGGCAGAGAGATCCCTCTCAGGATGGGATGGCACTTGGAGATGGATGATGGGGGGCAGGGAGGGTTGCGGAAGAAGCAGCTGCTTCCTGTTAAACACACTGTGGTGTCCAAACAGTAAAGGAGCTTTTAAAAAAGCAGTGGAAAGGTACAATGAAGAGAGGGTTATGATTTACTTTGGGAGGAAAAATCCTGTCAAAATATTAACTTTACTCCAATGGTTTTTATAGAGAGAAAAGAAACAAAGAGCTCCCCAAATTAAAAGGAAGAACATACATAAGAAAAGAAAAAGACTTGCCTTCTTCTTTGGCTACAAGTATGCCATGAACCTGAACTGACAGTGTGTGTGGCCTCACTTTACCTTTTTTCATGAACTATGCATCTGCGTTGGTTTTCCACCCAGGACTTTCTGAAAACAGCTGAAAGAAACCCTTTGCTCACTTGTAGATTCAAAAATGATACTGTTTAATGGGCTGCACTGTCATCTAAAAATTCATCTTCTGACGAGCACCAACCTCCACTGTATTCAACAAATATTTGATAAAACTGACTCAAAGAAAATCTAGACTGATTACATGTTATGTCCAGATCTTTACCTTGTCAAACACGAATCCTGCACTGATAAACACCTTCAAGTATACATTTGATGTATTTAAGTTCAATCACCCTTCCAACCAGGGATACCTACATTCTAGTTGTTGCAGATATTCCTTTTAATTAACCTTTTATTTCATCCTAGGAAAAAATGCTAGGTACTTTTTTTCCTTTTTAAGATTTTTAATGATTATGATGGTGATAGTAGTGGTGAAGTACCATCAAGTTGGTTCCGACTCACAATGACCCTGAATAGGATTTCCAAGGGATGGCTAGCTGGTGGGTTTGAACTGCTGACTTGCAGTTAGCAGCCCACTGCTTATCCTACAGAGCCACACCAGGAGTCCTACTATTTATATTTATACTAATATAAATAAATGGATATACAAATATAAATAAATGTTTAGATATCACTCCAAAGTTCATATTTCTAGACTATAGTTTTTAACAGATATAAGCATAATTATATGGTATTTTAAAGATTGGTTTTATTATTAATTGATGTTGTTGCTAAGTGCCATCCAGTCGATTCCAACTCATAGCAACTCTGATTAGGTTTTCCAAGGAGTGTCTAGTGGATTTGAACCGCTGACCCTATGGATAGCAGTCCCATGCTTATCCTACAACACAACACCAAGACTCTATTAATTAGTAGTTTTAAATCACATCAATATTAACTGAAGAATTCTTCAAGCTTATCTGGGGAGTAATTTCTGCCATCCCCCCAAAAGCTCATTTACCCTTATATTATCCTCAGGTGTTTGTGTATGTGAGCGAGAACATCTTGAATAATTCAAGACACATTAAGTGCTCAACTATTAGCTGAAAGGCTAGCAATTTGAACCTACCCATAGGTACAGCAAAAGATCAGTATGGTGCTCTGTTTCCAAAAAGTCACAGTGTTTAAAAATCCTTAGGAGCAGTTCTACTCTGCACACGTGGAGTTACCATGAGTCACAATAAACTTGATGAGCACTGGACTGCAAATCCCAAGGTCTGTGGTTCAAACCCACCAGCTGCTCCTCAGAAACCCTATACGGGGTCACTAACGTGTTGGAATCAACTCAATAGCACTTACCAACAACAAGTACAAGTCGTTTAGCTGCTTAGCCAAGGAGATGAAATTCCCAAGTAACTAGGATCTCTGCATTTACAAAAGGGTATGTGTGCCCTTTGACCAGAGTGACAATTATCACTGTGTTGTACTGAATAATCCATTCACATAAAGCTAAAGCTTTCTTTGTTCACCAGAATTAGACACCAGCTACTCATGATTTACTATGAGAAGCCAGAGAGACTGTACATAATACACTAAATTCACTCTGGGAACGGCATGATAACCTGAGACATTAATCCACATCTTCTCCACTTGCCATCTGTATTCCTATACTCAGGAGTCCTGGTGTGGCACTGAGGATAAAGCACTGGACCACATGGTTGATTTGAACTGCAAGGTTGGTAATTCAAACTCACCAGGCGCTTCTTGAAACCTTATACAGAGACATTATGAGTTAGAATCAGCTCAACGGCACTTAACAACAACAACAACAACAACAACAGTCCTATATTCACACACACTAAGTGGTCCAAACAATTTACAAGAAATAAAACCATCTCAACCACATCCTGCTCTCAACTAAACAAGTAGTATCTGAAGATAAGGTTAGGCATGAATTATGTTGACACACATCACAAAAGTCATCATTATATTCCATCCCTATAATAAATCAGAACACTTACAGATATGGTGGACACAAGAAATCTGAATGCACTTGGATTTTACTGACCTGTGAGCCAGCAGCTGCATTATTTATCAGGTGATTGTTGGGATGAGCAATCCAGAAAGTTGAAACCGCCCTGCAAGGCATTTTTTTTTTAAGGTGATTTAAACATTCTTAATAAAAAAATCCTGCCCACTACAAACTCACCCAAAACATCTTCCCCGAAAGTCAAAAGCCTAGACCATAACCGCCTATGTCTCTCTGCCAATTACTCACATACAGTCAGTGGCAGGTACAGGGATGTAATTTCCAAATACTTTTTCACGCATGGAGGTGCACATGGAGTTATTCCTGTCTGTAGGGAGAATAGTGCCAGGCTTGGTGAGGAGTCCGAGATTGTGGAACAAAGTATTTCTCTGTTCAATACCATCTTCCAAAAAGAAACAATGACCCAGTGTGTCGAATCCAATGGTGTCTTTTATCTGCAGAAATACAAGTATATAATGCGTTGGTAACAAGATTGACTATGATTTAAATGACAAGTGCTATTCAGTGTGGTGTGCTCAGTACACATGTAAAAAGAAGTTGTTATCTTGGCCGAAGCAGCAGAGTCCCGTGTCAGGATTTATTTCTCTCTGAAGAGGATTATTTGTGGGGGCTAAAAAAAAAAAAAAAAAAAAAACAAGGAGGCTTCCTTCAGCAGAATTCTCACTGAAAGCACAAGTAAGGCATGTGACGGCACAGGTTATAGATATAAAAAAGGAGAAAAGAAAATGTCTTTCTTTATTTATCTATTTTTTATTCATATGCTAAAAGGGAAACCATATATATTTACTTTATCATTAGGACAAACCATTGGGAACTTTCCACAAATTTAAAAAAAAAAAAAAGGGGAAAGGAAAGCAAAGAAGAGAGAAAGAAAAAAAATATATATATTTGAAATTGAATAGTGGTGATGGAAAGTGTAGTTGGTATGGCCTGGTTGGATATGTAAAAATAGTGGAAAAGGCAAAGAAAAGATAATCAATTAATCAATTAAAAAGGCATGATAGTTAAGGAAAGCCAGCTGTTTTATAAAGCATGTCATTACATTGTGAGGCGATTTACCAGCAATCCATGAGTCCCATGCACAGTGATGCATCTTGAGAAGCTGTGATGAATAGACAGGCCATCCACAAATGTTGGGTACCTGTATCCTCCCATAGAGTCCACATCGCCACACAGATGAAAATGCACAGGGTACCGCCCCAGCTTCTGCTGGCCCATGTGCAGCAACTCCACGTAAGAAAGATGGACTGAAGTAAAATTTTTCTTTATCTACAAAAGAAGGCATCTCGAAATCAAACTGGTATTTTCCAGAAAAAGGAAGTAACAACAACAACAACAACAACAACAACAACAACAA